TTGCCCCACCACCCACCCACCCCACCCTCCCCTGCCCCCCTCAGTTCTACATGATCCTCAAGCTGCAGCAGGGCGTGTGGCCGGGCCTGCCGGACGTCCATATCTGGGACTATGCGCGGTGAGGGGCGGCGTGTATGTGTGTTTGGCGATGGCGGTGGCGGGGGAAAGACGGGTGCCGGCCCCGGCCATCCGGCCGGCTGCAGTGCGTGCCTGCTGCCGGCCCCCGTACCCTTCCCGCCTGACCCTTCTCCTTTGCCTGCCCCGCCTGCCCGGCCTCGCAGCCTATCCTTTGTGTACACAGTGCTGTCCAAGCGCAAGCTGACCTGGTTTGTGAACAACGGGCTGGTGGAGGGGTGGACCGACCCGCGCATGCCCACGGTGCAGGGCATGCTGCGGCGCGGGCTGCAGCTGGAGGCGCTGCGCGAGTTCATCCTCAGGTGGAGGGCCGCTGGCCTGCATGTGCTGGTGGCGGCCATTTTTGCGTTGGTGTGTGCGTGTCTGTGAATGGGGCGATGTGTGTGTGCGTGTGTGTATGGGTGGGTGGGTGCCACAGGGTCAGCTCGGCGTCGAGGTCGCAGCGAGGTGCAGCTCTGTGGCAGGACTTCCACCGCCCAGCCTGCCGCCCCCGCCACCTGCCCTGCCCGCTTGTGCAGCCAGGGCGCCAGCAAGAATGTGACCTATCAGGAATGGGACAAGATCTGGTCCATCAACAAGCGCCTCATCGACCCGGTGTGCCCACGGCACACAGCTGTGGAGACGGATTGCAAGTGCGCCACTGTTTGTTGGCGTTGTTGGGTGTGTGTGTGTGCATGTGTGAGCGGGGGCAGAAAGAGCTGGGGTTCGCTGCTGCTTTCTGCTACCAGTGTCACAGTATGCATCAGGCTATGACAGACATCAGTCCCGTCCAGTTTTTTTTCCGCTGCCTCCTCTTGTGGTGCACTGCAGAGTGGCGGTCAGGCTAATCAACGGCCCTGCTGAGACCGAGTTTGTTGAGATGCCTCGTCACGCCAAATACCCGGCAGCAGGCACCAAGCGGCAGATGCGCAGCAGCACCCTGTGGCTGGATCAAGCGGACGCGCAGGTGGGCGTGGGCTGGATGCGGCTGAGGCTGGACATGAGCACAGATGGGCCGGCGGTGCTGCAGGGGGTGTCCTTGCTCCACTGGCGCAGTGTGTGGCGAGATTGGCAGGGAAACTGTTGTGTAGTGCTGCATGCCTGACTGTCTATCCGCTATTTACTCCTCACTGCAAATACTGCCTGCACAGGCGGTATCGGATGGGGAGGAGGTGACCCTGATGGGGTGGGGAAACTGTGTCTTTAAGGCGCATACAGCATACACAGCTGCCGGTGGCAAAGTGTCAGGCATTGAGGCAGGTGGGTCCAGCAGCAACGCATACAGCATTGATGCAGCTCCACTCCTGTGTTTGTTTCGGGGCAGCACTCATTCATTGTGCTATCCAATTTTTTCTGGCTTGCTTCACACCTCGTAACAACTTTCACAGCCTGGCATTCAAGTTCAACACTCCTCTTTCCTGCAGCGCTCTACCTTGAGGGCGACTTCAAAAAGACCAGGCTGAAGTTGACCTGGCTGGCACAGAGTGCTGACTGCCCCAAGCTGAAGCTGCAGGTGCTTGGGGCGGCAGCAGCCTTGCTCCACTGCGCTTGGAGAGCTGTCAGCTTGCCGCCACCTGCCTGCTGGGACATGGCGCCAGCCAACCTGCCAGCCAACAGCCTGCATACATAAACCTTATCCACAAACACAATCCTTCCTCATCCCCTGCACTGCTTGCAGTACTTTGGCTACCTGGTGACCAAGCGCAGGCTGGAGGAGGAGGACAACTTCGAGGACTGGGTGAACAGGAGCTCGGTGAGCTGGAATGATGCTGAGTGCCTGCCTGTTATATCGCTTGCGATCTAGCTGATATGAAGCCCCGGGTGCTGCGCCCTGTGTGTCCTGGCACGCCAAGCACAGCGCCTGAGCGCCCCGTTGTGCTGCCCTCCCCTGTAACATGTGGTGCTAACCGCAGATGGAGGTGATTGAGGCGGTCGGAGACATAAACATGCGCAGCCTGCAACAAGGGGAGGTCATCCAGGTGCCGCTGCAACATCTGCTCCTCCAAATTTGGCGCTGTTGCGACCATCTGCCTGCATTTGCTGCGTGCCTTTCCCGCCTGGCGACGTCCACTTTGCCCCCATCCATAGCTTTTCCCCTTCCAGCCAGCATGTGCTGCCCCCGTGTCAACGCTCACCCCCATCCCCCCAACTGTCCTCTCGCGCCCGCTCCCCTTCCTGCAGCTGGAGCGGAAGGGCTACTTCATTGTGGACCGTGCGTTCGACCCTGCCACACCCAATGATGCCATGGTGCTCCTCAACATCCCAGATGGGCGCGCCAAGGCGATGCCAGGCATGCCCGCACCCTGACGCGGCCGGCCGGGCTGGCGGACATGGCCACGGGCAGCTGCCGCCAGATCTGTGGTGCCTTTTCCCACGAATCGAATTACACTACATGTTTGATGCAAGACAAGGAGTCACTTTGGGCGCTTAGAGACTCTTAGCTTAATGCTGCCGCCTTGCACTTGGGCGCAAGAAATGATGCGCGCCCATGCTGCAAAGAGACGATCAAGGCGGTAGTAGGCAGCTACAGCCGAGATTTCAGTCATGAACAGCAGCGCTGGTGAGTGTTGGGCACTGTCACCGGACGGGCTCCGCCACACTGCTCCGATGCGGCATCCCGCCCTGCCCCCACCCATCCGTCCTCCGCAAGTGAACACGATCTCACAAAAAGAGAACGAAAACAATAGGTAAGAATGCAGGTAAACAATGTGGAAGAGCAATCGCGGGTATCGATACAAGGTCATGGCGATGAAAATTGACTCGGCGACGCGTGCAAGCCGTGCTGTGGAAGGCGGGGCGATGAAGAACCAACCCTGGCAATGCCCAGGTGGCATTCCACTGCTGTCACTGCCCCACTCCTGGGAGCGGAATCTGCTGCCAGTCGGTCACCTGTGGCAGCGGGAGCAGCGGCGGCGGGGAAGCAAGCCCCACCTCAGCAACCAACAAGCAGCAGGGGGGACACAGGCAGCGCGCCAGCGGGAGAGCCCCAGATTGTCCCCTCCACCACGTATACACGCAACACACACGCACCGTGACGGTGGCGTTGCCCTCCTCCTTGCTGAGGAAAGCGTAGGCCTCCAGCGCCACGGTGTCGTTCGCGCTGGAGGAGCAGCTGAGCTCGAGCCAGACCTTGAACTGAATGCCCGGCTCCTTGCCATCCTCGGCATCCGGTTGCTGGCAGGCATTGTATGGGTCTACTGTGTGGTCCCCGTCGCAATTCAGGGTGCTTTCATTGTCCTGGGACAGCAAGTAATCATTCCCAATGACGAACACCACCTGTGTGGCAGAGCGGGGAATGGGAAAACGGGTCGGCAGCCTCCCTGGCCGCGAGGCTGCCAGCTGCCGCAAGGTGGGGCGCAGCGTGACATGCAATGCCAGCAAACGAAGCTCCCTGGCTTCAGTGGGCGCCTAGAATTGCAGCCTTCCGACCTGCCTTCCGGCACGGCTCACCTCCGCTAGATCTGGGTCAAACAGATCCACCGCCACTGTGAAGCCTTCTGGGTCGGTGGCATTGCAGGAAGAAGAGTCGATGATGGACTCAGTGGGGTCATCCACATCTGGCAGCTCGGTGTTCAGGTCGCTCAACGCGTCCAGCTCCTGCTCCGGCGTGCACGGGAAGGGCGTGGTCGTGGTGGCGGCGGAGCCAGGGTTGCACAAGCTGGAGGCGGGCGCTGCGTCGCCGCCTACAGCGCCGCCGCTGGCCGCCTGACCCCCTTGCGCCCCTCCGACCTCCTCAGCCGCGCCGACCAGCGCTGCCGAGCTGAGGAGCAGGCAGAGAGCGGCCAGCCGCAGCCGCACAGCGTGGGCCGCCATGCCGGCGCGGTGGGCACCCGTGCACAGCACACGGACCTCGCAGGATCGGAATGATCCTCTAAGAATGAGCGAACTGCGAGAAGAGGGGCTGTGCAAGGCAGGCGAGCGGAGATGGCGGGAGGTATCAGCCGGACCCCACACGCGGGCAAATTGCTTTCGGAGCGCGGGAGGTGCGAAAGATGGTCAGGTGGGGAGACAGGTGCAGCGAAGGCGCCAACTTGGCGGCGGTGGAGGGAGCGGCACAGCACAGCGTGTCACGAAGGGGCAAGGGACTGTCCCTTGCCCCAAATCACATCTCAGCTGCGTTAGCAGGTCTTGTTACATCCAGTCAATACACCACTCAGCCCAAGGGACCGCGAGCAAAGAAGATGGAAGATTTAGCGAAGGGTGTGGTGTGCCAAGGGGGACGAATCAGGGCCGGCGAGGAATCAGGGATCGACAAATGGGGGGAGAAATTGGGCAGGGGATCACTACGGAATGGCAACAACATCTGGTTGTATTAAGTTCATGTAGGCGCTTGCGCAGCACCGTCGGTGTATGCGCTCATGCAATGGGGGGCGTGCAGCGGCTGCCGCAAGAGCCGCGCTTGCGCGCGGCCGCGACGTGCTGCCCGTCCGTTGCACTGCCAAGGCATGGTGAAAAAAGATGGGGTTGGGTCTGTCAAGGTTCATGAGGGCTGGAGGCCCTGGCTGATTGGCTTTCTAAAGAGGCAAAGCTGGGGTTCCTAGGTCTTGCTAGGGAGGGAGCGGGCTGACTGCCCGCCTGGCGTCTGCTGACCCATACAATTGGCTGCCCTAGATGGCGGCGCCAGACGGCTGCGGTCAAGCCTGGGTGTCGATGGAAAGGATGTCCAGGCTGGTGACCTGCAGGGAGGGCAGCGGCGCGGAGAACGCAGGTGTGCATAGAAAGGTGCCAGCAGCATCGAACCTTGCAAGCATGTGCCGCCTGGCGCCCCGTCTTGCCGCTCGCCACTGGCCGTGCTGCTACAGCCCGTGGCAGTGCGCGGCTTGTGCTGCTGCCGCACACGCTGTTTATAGTGGCACGCTGCGTGCTGACGCTCACCTCAGGCTCCTCATTGGAGGAAGGCAGGGGGATGAAGACCTGCGCGTAAATCTCCACGCTGCTCTTCACCTCGGGGCAGCTCAGCTCAGCAATGACCTCGTAGTTGGAGCCAGCCACAACCTGCGGCGGCGCAGGCAGGGGGTGGCAGTGTGGCAGCATGAGTCAGTCGGGGGAGAGAGGGAAAGACTACGTGTGCATGGCTTTCAGGCGCTTTCTGTGCGGCCGGCGGGGCCCCTGCATGTACCTGGCTGCACGCGGCCAGGGTGGTGGGCGTGGGGTCGTCGCAGAAGGAGAGGGTGGAGTTGCCTCCCTCCACCAGGGCCACCTGAATGGCAGAGAAGACCTCATCTGGCACCTGGCTGGTGGGCGACCAGCCGCCGGGGCGAGCCGCCGCGCCGTCGCAGCTGGGCGCCGGCGGAAGGGCGGCCGAGGCCGTGCAGACGGCGGCGAAGAGGCAGAGCGCCAGTACCAGGGTGCGGGGCATCATGGTGGGTGGGCTGTCGGGTGCCTTTGCCTGCAGCAGGAGGGGGCAGGCGCCAGCGGCGGGTGGGTGCGGGGATGGAGCGGTTCAAGCGCAGGAGCGCGGCGGGTCCGGCGGTAAGTGATCACGCCTGCCAATGCGCTGGTTTGGCAGGTACTGAGGGCAGCCCGCGGCACATGAATGGCAACGCGGTTTGGTTTGAAGGTGCCCTTGCTGCGGCCGCAGGCTGCTGTTCAGCGCCATGCACCCGCAAATGGCCATCAAGACCGCAGGAGCGCCGGTGCCAGGCAGCAAAGGCCGGCTGAACAGGGACAGAGTTGGACGTGCGGCATGCACGGCCGACGCATGCCGCTGCCTGGCTCTCACCTGGGTGTTTTATGCAGGACGAGTTCTGCCGCTTGGAATGATAGTGGTACAAGCAACGGCTGGACGGGCCTATTACTGGGGCGCGGACTTTGATGACCGGTCATGTGAGTCACAGCATGCTCGCCAGTTGGCGGCTCCGCCGCCTGTGCCGCCATCCACACCCTGAGCCGCCGTCCGCAGCCCAGCTCATTGGGTTGTACAAATACTCCAACTGAGGCATACCAGTAGGCGGCATGCCAGTAGGTGGCGTTATTGGAACAGGCAAAGGGTAAGATATCGCGAAGCACCGTGCAATTAGGGACCCAAAGTGTGCTGCCCGCTGTGGCACCCCTGTGGTCTAATCAGATGCTCAGTCCAAGCTACTGGCGATAGCTGGGCTGCTTCGCCTCCAAGGTACACATAGCATGTCATAAAAAATGTATAATACCAAGTGGGGCATCTCTACAGACATCAGGCAGGGCCACAATGGCACCAACCCAACGCCGCAAGCCATCAAGAGGCAAGAATGAAGACTCGAGGATGAAAAGCACAATGTGCAGCGTGGCGCAAACGAGCCACGCAATGCCACCAAATCCACCGCTAGCTGGGCGCTGGCGCAGGCGCGTCTGCTGCCGGCTGCGCGGGCCCGGGTGCTTCCGCTGCTGCCGGCGCTGGCGCTGCAGCTGGCTTGGGCTTCCTGGGCTTCCTGGGCTTCACATCCTCCAGGATCACCCCGGGGAAGAAGTTGCCGTCGTTTGAAGCCGGCCCGCGGATGCGCCGCTCCTCCCACAGCCCCGTCACATCGAAATCCAGCACTACAGGTGCGCCCGCGATCTCCTGCACCAGCCGTTGGCAGCAGAGGAGGCAGCAGACGCAAGCACCACGGCTCAGCCAGGACCCAGGCACACGCCTGGCCGAAACCGGAATGTGCAAGCTGCCCAGTGCAGCATACAGGTGGGCAGATGGCAGCCAGTGAAGCATCTGATGGGCCGACGCATCTGATGGGCCGACGCATCTGATGCGCCGACCGCGGTAGCAGGGCGGGGCCAACGCAGGGCGCTGCCCGCCCTGCGGCTCACGCACGTCAAGCGGCTGTGCGGGGTCGGCGCTGACTCTCTGTGTTGCCTCCACCCGCAGGGAGACCGTGATGTAAGTGTTCCTCTTCCCTTCCGCTGGGCACGAGAACCGGGGCCACACTCTGCGCCCCGGCAGGTGTAAAGGGAGGGAGAGCATGGGTGCGTGGGTGCAGATGTAAGTACCGGAGAAGAGGAGGCGGGACGAGTGGGTGGCAGCAGCCAAGAGAAGAGGCTCACCTGTAGTTGATGCTGAACGACGTGACCTGCAGCACAGCAGGCGCAGCACAGCGGGCGGGCATTCGACGAACGAGAACTTTGCAGCCCATTTCGACATGCTGACCAGTGGCGCGTGCCGAGGGTCGGCCGGCCGGCGGAAGGAAGGAAGGAAGGAAGGAAGGAAGGAAGGAAGGAACTGCGGGCTGCTTTGTCTGCTGGCAGCGCACCTGCTGGCAGCCCTCCAGCGACATCACCAGGTCGTCCTCGTCGCATGGCGCCCAGACGTCGAGGGTTGCATTGGCCTCAGCGCTCACCAGGAACTCCACCAGGATGGCCTCCTGCAGCTCGGTCTTGTTGGCATCTGGCACCACCTCCCACCCTCCGGTGCACCGCTTGCGGGGCTGCGCGCGCCGCGGCGGCCCGGCGGCAACCAGCGCTGCGCCGCAGAGCCAAAGTGCCGCTAGCGGCAGCAGGGGCACGCCCTGCCCCCGCATGTGCTGCTGTCAGCCGGCTGCGGCGATGGGGCTGGCGTGATCGGGCTGGGGCGCTGGGCCGAGGTGACAGGCAGGCGGGAGATGGAGCAGTGCCTGCATTTGGGACACGGAGCAGCCACTGTGCTGTGAGAGTGAGCGCTGGTGTCAGGGGTGTGCCTGTGCTGCCGCCGGCCGTGGCGGCGGGCAGCAGGCGGCGACCCGCCTCCTCCTGGGGCGGGCTCGCTGGTCCCTGCGCAGCTCATACCACCCTCGTGGCCTGCTGCTGCTCAACACGGGCGCTGGACCACGCAACGGAAGGTATCGGTGGCAACAGGTGCAGGCATGTGACATGCGCAGGCGCACCTGGGGGTGAAGCCCTGACCTGGCGGCACTCCTTTGATCACACGAATGCCGGGGTGTTCCATCCAAGCTCAGCACTCCAACCTGGCGCGACAGCTTGGCAACCACGGCAAGTTTGCAGTGCGACTGCACGCACCCGCCCTCGTCTCTGCTACTTGAATCAACAAGCATCAGCGCCCTGGACGACTTGGCTGCCGCCGTAGCCAGCAAAAGGCCAACCCGCTAGCTCTCGGCGCCTGATCGCCGCGCCTCCTCGTGTTCAGCTCCCAGCGAGTCTGAACACGCACCTGCAAGCCCACACAAGGCCGGCGAGCAGGGTTCGGTGGCCGGGAGGGCCGGGAGAGGAACACTCTAGCCGCCACCGCCGTGCGGCTGCGTCCTGCGTGCGCTTGGTTCCTGCAAGTACGTGAGCAGCATGGACATCTGGCAGGCATCTTCGCAAGCCCCAGAGCAGCCTCTGCGCATAGCGACGGCCGCGGCCTACCTAGGTGCGAGGTTTGCCGATCGTGCGGGCGAGTTGGCGGGCGGCGCATCCAGGACTGGAGATTTTGCTGCACACTGAGCATGTCTTGCTCCTCGACATGTTGCAGGCTTCATTGCCGTAAACGTGGCGTCAAGCGTGGGGTGGCTGGGCGCCACCAATGCAGGTGCGCCGGCTGCCAGCCGCTGTCAGCGCCAGAATGGCCTGCAGGCAGGGAACCTGGCTGGCCGGCTGCCCCGGCGTTGGTAGCTCGTCTGACTGCTCGACATGCGCTGCACAACAAGTACATGCTCATGGGAGCTGCAGCTGCTGCCTTTCGTCTACTGACCCGCTGCACACTGCCCCGCCTGCGCCTGTGGCACGGTACCCCACCCCACCCCCCACCCCCCCACCCCCCCATGTGCTGTGCAGAGGTGTCGGCTAAGTTCACCGTGCCCCTGACGCCCGCGGGCTGGGCGTTCGGCATCTGGGGCCTCATCTTTGCGCTGGAGGGCTGGGGAGTGGTGTACCAGCTGGTGGGCAGCGGCTACGACGCAGACGGCTTTAAGGTGCGCTGCCGCCGCTTGGACAGACGCTGCCTGCCGCTCCGGCGCACAGCTGGCATGGGTTTTGGAGCTGGCGGTTTGGCTGCCACCAGCTGTACGACCAAGAGGAGCCGCCAGACCTGTCGCCCATCCTCTTGCCCTGCCCTGCCCTGACCTTCACTGCACTGGCTATGCACCAGCAGCATCACCCCTTACCCCTGCGTCACGCTGCACTCCCCCCCCTGGGCGCAGGCCCGCTTCGCCAACGCCACCAACATCAACTGGATAGTGGCCTGGCTGGCCTGCATCGGCTGGCAGTTTGCCTTTGTTCAGCAGGTGGGCAGCGCTGGTCGGAGGTCGGCTGCTTTGCATGGTGCCGCCCTGGCTGCTTGCTGCCCCGAGGAATATGCTGAAGCAGCGCGGCGGCCGCCTTCTGCCTACAGACGCCTGGCGGCATGTGGCTCTCCTTTGTACTCATCCTCACCGCTTTCCTGGCAATGGGCAGGGCGCTGGTGCAGCTGTACAGGTGCGGGTGTACGCTTAGCTCCCAACTCGGAGTGCGCTGGCTGCATCGCGCACCAACCCCAGGCTGCAAATCCATCCCCTCACGCATGTGCCATCCCTTCCCAGGCTGGGATACTGAAGAACTCCGCGCCATGCCTCCCTCGCCCGCCTTGCCTGCAGCGTGAAGGACCGCTTCGGCCCCGCGCACTCGCTGTCGCTCTACGCCGCTTTCTTCCTGGGCACAACCGTCAACACAGCGTGGCTCAGCGTGGCCGCCTCCGTCCAGCTGCTCATCGCCCTTCAGATGGGCGTCGCCAGCCTGGAGGCTGCGTCTATCATGCTGGCTACCGCGGTGACCTGCCTGGGCGCGTATGCGCTCTTCCGAGAGCACGACACAGGTGTGCTTGCTTTTGTGCCGCCGTCGCCGGACGGGCGGGGCTGCGCTGCCGCGCCGCCCCCGCGGCGCTGCCCGCCTGCTGTTTGCCTGCCTCCTCCCATGCCTGCCTGCCCGCTCACCCGCTGCCTGCCGTCCCCGCCTGCCTGGCCGCCGCCCTGTGCAGCCTACGGCCTGGCGCTGGTGTGGGCCTTTGTGGCGGTCTACGAAAAGACCGAGTCTGTGGCTGTGCGCAACACGGCGCTGGGCGCCATTGTGCTGCTGGCCGTGCTCAGCATTGCCAGCGTGCTGCGCCGGCCGGGCCAGGAGCCGCACTATGAGCCGGTTGGCGCGCGGGAGCCGCTCAGGCCCAGCCAGGACGAGGCCTGAGCCGCGTGGCTGCGGCTGGCGCCCGTGCCAGCCCTCTGGATACCCGTGCATGTCCGCATCCGGCCCCTGCTGTTGCGCATGGTGGCCCCCGGCGTCCAGCCCTCCCTGCCCCTGCGGGCTGCCTTCAATCTCCAATCCATGTAGCTTTGATTTCCACAAGCTCCCTCTCTGTACAGAAGCCTGCATATGCTTTCCAATGCTCTCTCCCACTGCATGATGCTGCGGCGCTTGCCGAGTGTTTTTCGCCTGGCCTCCAAAGGGCCTGCCCACCTCCCTTCTTGTGCGATCAGTTGATTACAGCTGTGTGTATGTCAACCCAATAAGCATTCGTGTTGCCAGGGTGCAACAGCATAAGCATGTGGCGCCACGCACCCGGCCAAATTGGGTGCTGTGACAGCCATAAAACCCTCTGGCCACTGTAAGGTGTGTGGCAGAGGCCTGGAAACAGTGCAGGCAGGAAAAGGTTGAAAAGGGGGCAGGAAAAGTGGAAAAGGAGGAAACAAGAGAGAAAGCGAATGAGTTAACAAATGCAACGCGGTCAGGAGGTGCGGTTGGTGTGCATAAGAAAACGAGGGGGCAGCAGCTGCATAGAAAGGAGAAGGGGTGTGGATGCAAGGAAAGGTGGAGGGTGGCGTTTTTCCCAGGGCAAGAGCCCCATGCAGAGCAGCAGGCCGGGCAAAAGGCGACGCTGCTGTGCATGGTACAGGAGACGGGCAGGGCACGGCTTCAACCAAGCCGGCCAAAGTGTTCGCGGCGCCCAGCTGTGGCTGAGGGTTCATAGCTGAAGCGTAAAGCTTGGGCTGCTGCAGGATTTTGTTGCCAAAGGGAGGGATGACCTTAAAAACTCGGGTGCCGCAGGCAGGTGGGCGGCGTGTGGTGGCAGGGATGGGCACAGGGCGCGCTGCGCGGGCCCATGCACGCTTAGAGCGAGCGCTTGCGCAGGTTCTGGGGGCGGCGTGGCACGCGGCTGCACTCAGGTGGGTGGGTGGGGTGGGGGGGCAGCCAGCAGCGCTCAGATACCCTGCCAACATGTGGAACAGAGCAGCTGGCACGCCGGCGCGCCTCATGTGTGCCAGGCATCCCCAACGGCGGCAGCCGGCCCGCCCTCGCCCCAGCTCACCGTGCCCCCATGAGGCCGCCGTCCTTCTTTGGGCGGGGCGGGATGCGCATGAGGTGCATGCCGCCCGACGCGGCGCCGGCGGTGAGCAGGCGGCGGCCGGGCACGGGCACCACGCCCTTGACGTCCAGGGAGGTCACCTTGGGCCCCTTGGGGGGCAGCCGCTGCCACACCACGGCGTGTACCTTGAGCTTCAGGTGCTTGTGCTTGCAGGCGATGCGCAGGCGCACCTCGTAGTTGGTGCCAGCCACCACCTGCAGGAAGGTGCACGCAGGAGCAGGGGAGGGCGGCATGAGGAGCCAGGGGCAACCAAGGGAGTAGGCCCAAGGAGCAGGCGGGGTGAGCAGCTGCGCCTCGGCAAGGCGCGTCCCGGCCAGGCCCCCACCAGCCCGCGCGCCGCGGCGGGCGCCCCGGCTTGCCTGCGAGCAGGCTGCCAGCAGCTTGATGGACGGCTTCTTGCACAGCTTGTGCTTGGCTGCCAGCTTCTTCAGCACGGCGGCGTACACCTCCTCGGGCACTGCCGAGGTGGTGGACCAGCCTCCCGCCATTGGCATGCCGCCCGTCGTCTTCTTGCACTTCTTGGCGGGCGGCACGTGGGCCGACGCTGCCGCCGTTAACAAGCACAGGCCGAGAAGGATGCTACACCGCATGGCGACGTCTCTGTGGCTGGGGTAGCTAAAGCAGATCCGTCTGCACAGGGGAGCAGACGTGGGAGTCAGCGGAGTGCAGGGAGTGGCCCGAAGAGCTGGCGGCGTTCAAACGGAAGGCGGCGGTCGCCGCAAGGTGCGGCGGCGGTGGCCGAGGTGCCCGCCGGCGACCTGTTCAAGCCCCTCTGCCCATCCCACCAGCCATAACTCTGCCCATTAGGACCGGTGCGCCGCGCACTCTCAAGGGAACAAGCGGACCAGGCAAAAACATGGCGCTCGTCATTGGCAGCCCCCCTCTGCTTCCAGCCGCCATGCCCTGCCAGATGCAAGAGTGTCGCACACAGGACATGGGCAGCCGCGCAACTCACCGGCTGGCGCTCGAAGCCCTTTCTGAATCAACCCAAATGAAGACTGGTGTAGGGCGCCTACCGCTCTAATGTCGTCTGGCTATGCCGTGGCAAGGAAACACGGCCGAATGCATCCGGATGTCTCAGTTTCTTCCAGCCAGCGGCCCGAGGAAGCTGCCCGTGCGCTTTTGCATGGGGCGCGCCCCATCCTGTCCAGCATGTTTGCCGGTATCCGCTATTATACATTCATTGTGAATATCAGGGGGCTGCGTCGCACGCCTCTGGGGGGACAGGGCGCCGGCGGCACCGACAAAGGCGCGGCGGCCGCCGCCGCCACGCGTACACGATGTGCCCGCCGTTGTTGCCGCTGACGTTGTTGCCGCATGCAGAACTGGGTAAAGCGTGCATTGTGTTACATGTTCCTGGATACAGGACCATCTCTACAGGAAGCACGTGGTGCCAGCCCGCGTAGCAAACGGCCTGGGCCCGCGTGATGAGGGCAGGCAGGCAGGCACGTGCCGCCCACCTTCGTTCGTTGCGCATCAGTCTGCTGTCTGTGTGTACCTTCAGTGCATGCCGCATCCTGCTGCATGCTGCTGAATCCCAAGGCCCCATTTCGAACATTTCTCATGCCAGCGGGCAGCACAGGCTGCCTCAGTTCCAGCTGAATGTCGCCGTGAGCTGCTCGACTGTCTCGTTGGCCCCCTTGAACCCATAGTCCTTGGTCCTGTTGAACCGCCAGAAGGAGTCGGAGCCCGGCAGCTTGCCCAGCTCTGCAGAGGCGAGGCAGGCCAGGATGGGCAAGGGATGCGTACCGAATGTGAGCAATTCGGCAGGCTGAGGCCATCCAGATTCGCCCCCCCGCTGGCCTGCTCCGATCCCCACCCCGCTCAGTCGCAACCTCAGACACAGCCCGTTCAGCGCCGCCCGCAGCACTCCGCAGCCTCCAGCGCCCGCTGCCCAGCACTCCCCCGCCCCATGCCCACCCACCCTTGAACTCCTGCGCAAAGTCGTCAAAGTTCTGCTCCACCTGGGAGATGGAGAAGTAGTTGGAGGAGAACTGGCTGTTGAGCAGGATGCCTGCGGGTGGGTGGGAGGGGAGGGGCTTGGTTGCTGCTGCTGCTGCTGCTGCTGGAACTGCTGCTGGTGGCGTGTGCACGTGTGGAGAAGCGAGACAGAGGGGAGCTGGCCAAGCAGCCACAGGGCCTGCTGCCAGGGAGCGCAGCGGCAGCGCGCCGCCGGGCAGCGAGGCGCACCCTCTGTCTGGCGCGGCACCTTCTTCTTGAGCAGGAAGGCAAACACAAGCTCCACGGTGGTCTGTAGGAGGGGCAGCGGCACGGGAGCAGGCCAGGGGCGAGCAGCAGTCGGCGCCCACACACTCAAGGACAGGCTGCGCTCCTGGCGCCCACCCCAGGCTCGGACCTGACCGGGCACCCAGGCCTGATGCCGCGCCGCCAGCCATCACATGGGGTGCGCCAGGCCGCCCACACCCGGCCCACGCACCCACCCCTCTCAGCTCACCTGCGGCGGGATGCCCAGCGGCTCATAATAGTCGCGCCCCACAATCACGCGGTGCTGCGTCTCCTTGTCCTGCACACGCCGCGCAACCGCGGGGGTCGGGCAGGCAGTCAGGCGGGCTCGCGGGCAAAGCACCAGGCAATCTACACAGCAAGGGGGAGCCATGCAACACACACAAACTGAGTGTTTTGTAATCCGGATTCTCCTTGCCTGGTAGGTGACCACCACATCAAACATGTGGCCGCCGTTGGTGGGCATCACCCGCTTGAAGATCAGGTCAAAGGTGGCGGGCTTGCCGTCCATCTCAAACGTGCAGGTGCTGCAGGGCAGGCGGTGCCAGGGGCAGGCAGGCAGGGGCAGAGAGGGTGGAGGGTGAGATGGCGGGCGGGTGTGTGGGGCGCCGCGGCAGAGGGCCAGCGGCAAGCACGGCCGGGTGAACGGGCAGCGCCTGGCGCCTGGAGACCTCGCGTACGCAGAGAGGACTCGCCGCTCTGCTGACAGCCAGCCAGCGCATGCCTCCACCACCACCACCCACGACAACACACAATGCACGCTCCCCGCCGCCCGCCCCCCGCTCACAGCGTGGACTTGGCCGCCTCCACGGCCAGCAGGCGCTGCCGCTCCAGCTCCTCCTCGGTCAGGGCGGCGGCCGGCAGGAAGTCCACCTTGCCCTGCTCAAACAGCTCGGCGTTGGGCACAAACTCCTCGCGGCAGCCGCGCTGGCGCATGCGCTCCTGCAGCTGCTTGGCCAGCTCCATGGCCGCCTGCGCCTTGCCGCGGTCGGAGATGGAGAAGGCGTCGGTGGGCTGCTGCCACTGGTCGCGCTCCGAGGGCACTGCGGGGGCGAGGCGCGGGGCGCAGGTGGGCGGGCAGGCGTGTGCAAGGATGAGGCGCCGGCACAGACAGCAGAGGCTGAGGGAGGATGCGCTGATCGATGGCACATGTGCCGGCCGGTAGCGTAGCTTCACAGACAACAGTGCCACAGAGGCGGGGCATGACAAGGCCGGCCAGGTGGCCAGGCCGGGCCAGGCCCGTGCTGTTGACTCACGCTTGTTCCCAGGCGGCGGGCCGTAGTTGCCATCAAACCAGGCGGACCGCACGTCCAGCATGTATTGCTGGTCCAGGCTGGGCAGGTGCAGCGCCCTGGATGGCGGGGCAAGTGGAGTTGTTTTATGAACAGAACTTCGTTTTGTGAGCGGCGGTGGTGGGAGCCACGTCGGAATGGGCCTCCACCCCTGCTGCCAAACCGCGCGTCCGCTCTGTCCCGGCCACCTCCAGCAAGCAATCCACGCCCAATCGCCCTCCATGCACGCACTTCCCCACACACAACACACATAAATGTGTGTCGCCAGCAGCAGCACCAGCAGCAGCACCCGCACCACCGCCCTCTCACTTGAAGTAGTGCGCCTTGTCGGGGCGGCGGCTGAACAGCGTGCGCAGCGTGTCGCGCAGGCCCTTGGAGAAGCCCACGTACTGCAGCATGCGGGCCTCGTCGTACAGCGCAAACACGGTGGCCTGCGGTACCAGGGGCAGGCAGTACATGCGGTACATGTTGGGCTGGCGGCGACGGCGTGCAGTGCGTGGGTCGAGGGGCGGAGCGGGCAGGCTTGGCACGGAAGCGAGGGCAGCGGGGGCGGGCGAGCGGGCAGGGCGGCAAGGGAGCGTGCCATGGACTGGGAAAGGGGGGTTGCGTGTTGGGCCTGCAGTGGTGCGTGGGTGGCAGCCTCACCTCGGTGCCCTCTGGGATTTCAGGGGAGATGGTGCCCTGCGTGTTCAGCACGGGCTGGAACTCCAGGGATCCCAGCTCGGGCGCTGCAGCCGAGGACGAGGCGGCCGCGGTGGGGCTGGCCGCCGCCGGGTTGCGGCCCCGCTGCTGCCGCCGGGCCGCCGCCGTTGCTGGCCCTACCAGCGCCCGCTGCTGCTGCTGCTGCTGGTGCTGACGCCATGCTCCCAGCGGCTGCCCAGCAAAGGCAGCGTGGCTGCGCCGGCGGCTCGCAGCAGCGGCCACCGCCGGGCGGCAGCTGCAGGCGGCGGGCCGGGGCAAGCGCAGGGCTTGTTTGCCTGGATCTGCTATGTGCAAAGCGATCGCAGGCACCTGCCAGCGGCAAGCTGGGCTCCCACCTGCTGCTTCTACACGCCTGGGCGGCGCTCATGACTGCAGTCGGGCCTGCACCCAGCACCGAGAGTTTCGGGTCCCCGGAGTTAGCTCTAAACATTTGCATGTGGTGCAGTGCACGCAGGCGGCGCTGGCGGGCCTGCACCTGTCCTTCCGCAATGCGTGCAATGCTGTCTGGCCTGCGCTGCTGGGGGCTGGAACAACCGCTACACAGATCAGGCTGCAGAACGGGACGAGAAGCAGCGCGAAACGCGCGCATGCAGAGAGGATGAGGCTTGGGTGGCGCGCCAGCGAGGCGGTGCGGCGATCCGGGCGCCGACACTCCTGCCCTGTTACCCAAGGCAGCCCATCGCATTGATCATGCCCTGTTTACGTCATCCATCTCATTTGAGCACATCATAGCCACAGAAAAAGGGATGAAAGTTGCTCCCGCCGCTGCCGCCGCCACCATTCTGCCGTATGCTTGTCCCTCAGACTGGCAGCTCGACGCCCTCCACCACCACCGGCCCATCCTCATCCTCATCGTCGCTACCCAGATCGGTCACCACCTGCACACCCCAGCCCATTGTGCGCTGCAGCACGCCGCTGACTGCCGCGGCCTGCATAAGGCCAGGGGGGGGTGCGCAGGGCGGGCAGGCCAGGCAGAGTCGGCGTGAAGCCTGCCCGTGCACAGCACCACAAACACACAAGTGCTGCCCCGGGTGCTGGGACTACGGCGAGGGCTGGGCTACGGCAAGAATGCCTCGCCCCACCCGCCCCACCCTGCGTCCACGCACGTCCCAGCGCGCACCTGCTCCGCCAGCGGCGGGGAGACGCGGGGCCGCTCCTCATGCAGCATCTGGAAGAACTGGGTGGAGAGGCGGCGCAGGAAGCTGTCGCCCAGCAGCTCCTCCACCATGGGCGCCCCCAGCGGCTGCGCCTGTGCAGACTGGGCCCGGCCCTGCGAACGGGCAGGGTGGGAGCGAGGGATGCACGCGGCAGGTCAGGCCATCGGTGGCCTGCCGTACAGAGCAACAGCGCATCCTTCAGGCACGCGCTGCCCTCCCCAGCCGCCGCCACCGCTCACCGGCGCCAGGCTGTGCGCAAGCTGGGCGTGCAGGGCGCGCAGGAAGTCTGCAAACAGCTGGCTGCGGGCGCCCAGCGGCGCGTCGTCGCAGCCAAACATGAGGCACAGGAAGGCCTTCCACTGCGCAAACCCCTCCAGCGACTGGCCCAGCAGAAAGGCCAGGAAGCAGAACTGGAACTCGCCTGTGGCAGGGGAGAGTGCTGGGTTAGGCACACGGGCAAAATGCTGTGATCGCGTGTACATGCCATCATCCCTTGTGTGAGGCAAGCCGCATTGGCACTGCACCAAACAACCGGCGCCTCGGCCACCCGCCCGCCACACAATCAGGTGCGGCGCAGCCGCCCGCCCACCCACCCAGGAAGGCTTCCTGGTCTCCCTTGAAGTGCTTTGTCAGCACCTCCTCCAATACCCGCGACTTGTCCAGGTTGAGCGCTGCGCAGGGCAGGCACGCAGGGGAGGAAGTCAGTCGCTTTGCCCATGGGCATTGGGAGCGAGCAGGCACGTGAGGTGCAGCAGCGGCGTGGGCAGTGGGCACAGGCTTTGTGGAGGTGCCAGTGCGCATTTGATGCCTCTGCTCCGCTCCGACGCACCCGTGAGCTCCTGCGGTGTCAATCCCCCCCGCTTGACCAGGCGCGGCAGCGGCGTATAGAAGCAGCGCCCGGCGTGCGGCGCCGCCGCCCAGCGCCCGCCTTCCTGCTGCTGCTCCGCAGCAGCAGCTGGGCCTGCCCCGGCGGTGGGCTGCTGGTCATCTACCATCGCCTCCCCAGCCTGGTCCCCAGCAGCAGCAGCCGTGGCAGCGGGGACACCCTTGCCATTTCCTGCCTGCTCCGCGGCGGCCTGCTGCCGCTCCGCGGCTGCCTCCCGCCCCTTCTGCAGCTGCTCGTACAGCGCTTCTTCCGCCGCGGTGGCGGGCCGCAGCAGCGAGGGGTCTGCCTCAGCGAGGATGTTGATGTTGCCTCCCACCGGCTGCAGCGCATCCACCACTCCCCCGCTGATGTGGCCCGCCAGCTGGCGCCAGCGGTTCCAGCTGGCCAGGTCGTAAGGCGCCAGGTGCTGGTCCAGCTGGAAGCTGCGCACCGCCTGGGCATACCGCTCCACCTGCACCGTGACCCAGGATGGGCGGGAGAAGAGGCCGAGGGGAAGACAGAGAGGAAAACATGATGAGGCGACACCACACCTTGGCGGTAGCACGCCCACCAACACTCGCTTGCGCCGCACAGTTGGAGCGAGAGCAAGCGAGCCGGGCAAATGCAAAGCAGCAGCTGGCCTCACCTCATCCTCATCCTCAAGCTCCTCCAGCACCTCCTCCGGCCCATTCCACCGCCGCACCACCACCTGCGGCACCAGCGGGCGGAGCGCCGCCAGGCACCGTCAGCTGGCAGCAGCGGCGGAGCAGCATTGCACGGACGCAAGGCTCCAACACACGCATGCGGTGCTGCGATCCCTTTCAGCAGCCCTGCACCCTGCAGCCCTTCATCCGCCTCATTCAGCGCCCCGGGCTCCGCACCTGGCCGCTGCGGATGGGCAGGAAGAAAGAGGTGGTGGGCCCAAAGTCGCCCTGCCCGCTGGAGGAGTTGTAGGAGATGAAGTGTGTCCCAGGGGGCACCATCTTGATGCCCTTGAATTTGGGCCCCACCAGGAAGGTCTGCATGAAGGGGCAGCGGCGCAAGAGAGGTGGGCGGCATTGCGGTGGCCGGGCGGCGGCGGCAGCGGCGGCAGCGGCGGCAGCTGTGAACTGCAAGCGGCACCCGGCGGCGCGTGCTCCCACCTGCTGATCCACGCCCACGGCAGTGTTCTCGGGCACGTCCAGCAGCAGGATGGTGCCACCCCGCTGGGCCAGCTCCCGAGCGGAGTCCGCATCGAGCCTCACGGTGTATGGGGGCGATGTCATAGTGGCGTGTGAAGCGATTGTCGTGCTGGGAACGGGCCACTACTGGATGAGCAGTCGGGACCTCTAGAAAGGCGCCTAGCTGCAGCGTGCATGCAAGTATTTGCTACCTCGGATCGCGATCGGTGATTAGGAACAATGCATGAATGGAGCCGAGAGCAGCCCTGCCTTCACACATCGCACTGGCGCCTCGGCGGCATGTGGAACATGGCGCTGCAGCTCTGACCACGGCTCTTCTCCTGCCGGGTGCCATTTCGCCTTAGCGCCTGAATGTATTGCCTCTCACATTCTCTATCCCACTGAGATGAACCAGGCTGGGCATATCGCTCGCTCACATTGCCAACCAGTGAAGCAATGTGCGGGTGCAGCTGTGTCCTGCTGCACCGACCGGTTGCCGGCAATGATACACAGCCCGCATGCGGACAGGGAATCGACTCCATACCATGCAGCATCACTGCCTGGCGCCGCTACGAGTGTTGGCAGCGAGCCGGGAACGGCGGGCAACGCGGCGGTGCCGTCGCCAAGCATGGGGCAACGGCCCAGATGGCTGTTGCCGGCTCTGCCCGTTAACGCATTTTGTCTGCTGCACAGCCACGGGCTTGCGCTGGCCCAGGCTGCCGCCCCAAAAGCGTGAATTGGTTGCCATGTTGCCCCCTGAACTTGCAGGCCCCGCCAGCGCCCCATCGGACTGCTGCACATGCATGGTGGGGCGATGCACTTGCCATCGGGGCTGCGACTGCAGCATTTGCATTTTGTTGGTGACTTTCTTGCACCGAAGTTATCTCGCCGCTTGCACCGCCCATCGCGCTTCTGCACCCGCTCGCCCGCTCCCCCCATCCAACAGACTCACAATGGTGGCCGTGGCAGCGTCCCTCAGCCTGCAGAAGCCCTGCCTGCAGAGGCAGGTGGCGGCCAAGGCCTCCAGCCGCGCCCCCCGCGCCGCTGTGCGTGTGCAGGCGGTGAAGCAGGAGCAGAAGGTGCGGGTTGTGGCGGTGGGCACCTGCCGGAGGCCGCCAGAAAACAGCCCCCATCGCATCGCGGCCACCACGATCGTGAAACCAGCGACAGCGGCAGCCGGGGCGCCCGCAGCACGGGGCGGAGGGGGAGTGGGCCGGCAGAGGACCAATGCGCGTCCCAGGCGAGGGTGAGGCAGGCTCGCCGCTGACGCAGTGTGCCCACCCCGCCGCCGCTCCCCGCAGGCTGCCGCCGTCGCCGCCCTGTCCGCAGCTGCCCTGGCCATTGCCCCCGCTGCCCAGGCCGCCCAGGAGGCCATGATGGTGGCTGAGGTGAGCCCTGGCAGCCCCCGAGCTGTCTTTCCCGCTGCCTCTGTCGGCTTGCTGCTGCCGGCGGCCGCCACAGCCGTGGTAGTGTAGTGCTGCGGCACAACTGAAAGCAGTGCGGAGCAGCTGGGGCTCCGATTGTTGCGGCAGCAATTGAAAGGATGCCGATACATGATAAACGGCCGGCCCGGGGGTTGCGGTTGGCCTGCTGCACGGCGGATGGGCTGTGCTGGGGGGCACATGTGCCGCTGCCATGTATGCCGCAGGCTGCCATGCATTCCGCTGACAGGCGCTCTGCGCATGCTGCTGCCGCTGCCGCTGTGCAGGGCGAGCCCCTAATCGTGCAGGTTGGCTGGGCCGCCACCGCGGTTATGTTCTCCTTCTCGCTGTCCCTTGTGGTGTGGGGCCGCTCCGGCCTCTGAGCATGCCACCCCCGCCACCGAGCGGCGGGCGGCCGCAGGCGCCGCCAGCACGACGGCGCTCCGCTCCGCTTGACGCCGGCCGGCGCTTGATCGGCGCGCGGCGCAGCGCACGGCTCAACCGGCCGCAGCCCGGCACGCCGAGGCAGCGGCGATGCGGAAGCTCGTGGCAGCGCTGCTGTGGTGGTTCAGCGCCAGCGGGCCTGCAGTGTACCCCGAGAAGAGCAGCAGCTACGTAAATTCTTTTTATTTGTGCCCCCGCGGTTTCCAGCAACCCACCATGCCAGCGTGTAAGCGCTACCAATGCTAAACGCAGACGGCAGCGTCGGAAAGGCCGCAGGTGGCCCGGGTGCAGCTGCCAGCAAGTGGAGCTGCACTACAGAGCCGCAGGGTCCCTGCTACATCTCCGTATTACACTGTGATGAAACAGGAACAGGGGTAATGAAAGGCGCGGGAGGAGCGCAGGCAATCGGGGCATCCTCTGGCTTGCCACATGGGGCTCAACGGGTTGATGTGGTGGGAGACAGTACCAAACGTCAGGGGGTCGATACATGCAGCTGAGAACCCCGAGGCACATTTGGGAGCTAGCAGCATGCAAAGGCTCTCAAGCTCTAATGACCAAAGATCAAAGAATAGGACAGGGCAGTGCACATGCACAATCACAACTAGACACACGCAGCTCAGAGTCACTGGTCCTCTCCTCATCACTTCACTAGCAAAACGCAGGAAACAGGTGCAACACCACTCAAAGATAGCAAAAACGTGGTTCGCTCAGCTGCGGCGCTCACTTGTGCCCAACAAACTGCCCACGGCCAGCGGCGCCGCCAGAGCCTCGGCGGCCGCCGTGCTGCCGTGCGCCGCCTCTAGCGCCGCAGCCGATGGCGGGCGCACGGGCAGGCCTGCGGCCCGCGCAATGTGCCGCACCGTCAGCTGGGTGAGGGGCAGGCCTGGGCCGGCCGTCGCCGCATCGGGCCGCCAGCTCAGCACGCGGTCAGCGGGGTAGTTGCCGGCTGGGGCCAGCAGCACGCGCACATACGGCCACCCGATGCCAGCCGCCGCCTCGTCCTCCTCAATGCCGTCGCCTGCAGGGCCGGGTGGCGGCAACGGTGGGTGCGCAGGAAGCGTGAGCCAGCAGCGGGCATGCCAAGCAGCAGGTTGAGCGAATGTGCAGCGGCCGCCAGCGCATGCACGCGCTTCCACGGCAGGCAAACAGCCGGGCAATCAAACCAGCCAGCGGCACAGCGGCCCACCTATGGCCACGTAGCTGCATGCGGCGCCAAAGCGCTGGCGCACGAGCTCGAAGCAGGCCGCCTTGCCGCAGTGCCGCGAGCTCCACACGTGCTCGCTGGCGATGTGCGCTCCCAGCTTGAACAGCAGCAGCTTGGCCAGCGAGGGGACCAGCTGGCCAGAGGTGACAGCCACGTGCGTCACCTCCCGCCCTTCCTGCTCGGCAGCCCCTGCCAGCTGGCTTGTGCAGTCGCCCAGCAGCGCGCAGGCGTGGCTGAGCCAGCCGCCCGTCAGCGCATCGGTCTCGCCATACAATGCCTGCAGGGAGGGTGGATGGGAGGCCAGGCACGGCGTGTTGGCAGGTGCATGCGGCTGGGGAGCTGATCAGGTATGCGTGTGTGGAGCGGGGCTGGCATCCCAGACGTGCCCGGCAGCAAGGCTGCAAAGTGCTGTGCTGCAGGGATATGGGCAGGTGGGCAGGTCAAGCTCTGGCCAGGCACAGCCCCACGCCGCACCTCCCACTCGCTGCGCTCCGCTGCGGTGCCCAGCGCCTGCAGGCCGAAGCTGCACAGCTTGGCTATGCGGCGGTACCGGTAGGCCAGCTTGGTCAGCGATGCGGCGTCCAGGCTGCCGCAGGCGGGGGAGCCAAGGGGGCTGGCTCCCATGGCCGCCCCGTCTGCCGCAGGCTTGCCGCCTCCCTCGCTGCCAGCGCTGCTGACGGCGGCTGGCGCTGCAGGCGTAGGTGCGGGCGCGGGGCGGGCTGAGGCAGCGTGCTCCTCGGGGCTGTACAGGTGCGCGGGCTGGCCCGGCGGCGGGAAGCCGTCGCCGCCGAAATCGTACCCCGCCAGGCTGCCGCCGTCGTCGTGGCGATGGATGTCCGACAGGCAGCACTGGTCCCATTCCTCCACCTGCACAAGCGCACCAACACAACAGCAGCGCTGGGATGAGAGTCGCGCTCAGGGACCAAGATCAGGAGGAAGCGTGAGCGCACGACACCAGCAGTGCCACTGCATCTGTGCTGTGCCGAGAGGCGGCCGCCCCTCCCTACCAGCCGATGCCACCGAGCAGCCAGCCACAGCAGCCCACGGCACACATGCCGCCGCTCAAAGAGGATGCGTGGACGCTGAGCACGTGCCTGGTCAAAAAAGAAGTGGTTGTCGCACAGGGACAGGATGGCGGCCTCCCACCGCCGACCCATGGCCGCCAGCTGCGCCACGGCCTCGGGGCGCTGCGTGGCGGCGGCCCAGGTGCCCATCAGCAGGGAGTTGAAGAGCACCAGGGTCTCGTCCAGGTCCCACACCAGGACCAGGCGAGGGCCGCCGCCGCCGCCGCTCGTGGCCTGCCGCGGCGCCGCCGCCTCGCCGCCGCCGCCAGGCGCGGCCTCCTCTTCCAGAGAAAGCCGCTGCTTTTTGCAGCGCTCCTGCACGCAGGCGCGAGCGGGGGCAGGCGCTGGTGAGCGCCGCGCAGAACCAAACACAAACTACCTCCAGCGACTGGAGCGCTGAGCGTCCCAGACGCCGCACCTTTTCAATCATGGCATCCTGAGTCATGTGCAGGCTGAAAGGAGCACGGTGTGCACCCCGCCCTGGGCTGATGAAGCAACCGCTCGCCTGGCGGCGCCTGCTGCGCTGCGCCACGAGCATACTCTGCACCATGTGCATGGGAGCATCCACCACTGATAATCGATGCTGCACCATTGACTCCTCTTCCACAGAGGCCGTTCGTGTGTCTGAACGGCAGTGGGCGATGTGGGCAGCAGCCCGACTCTGAGAGCGGGCGAGATACGGTAGCGGCAGCACTATCACATGAACGCTGCTGGAGGCAGGCAGGCTTACAATGTGAAGCACTGCACCTTTATCAATGCCTGCAGCAGCACCGCGCTGCTCGGACTGGTCAGTGATGAGAGGGGCGGCGGTGGCGCCGCCACCACCAGGGCGAGCTGGCGCCAGCAGTGGATGTGCAGGATGCAGAGCGTGGCCATGGCCATCGATCTTTGCAGTCGCAGCGGAAAGCCATGCCAGTCGGTATGAGCAGCAGTTGTGGCTCACCCAATGGGGTCATCAAGGCCTACAACTAAAGAGGTGCAGCCCGTGAGGGATCTACACAGCTTGCAGTTCTGGTGGCATACCGCAGGTCCTCATCTGAAGTAGGAGGCCGCATTCGGCCCCACGTAATTCCAGTGCCACCCCATGTTCCCCACAGGTGCTGACAAAGGCCATGGCCATCTGGCGAGCGGCAGCCGGAGCGGCATTCGGCAGGCGGCAACGAGCGGAGAGCAGAAACGGGCTGCAGCACCCATGTTTCTCTTGAAAACATGTATGTAACTTTACTGGATAGAGGCAGGGCATTGAAACTCATGAAATCCTGGAGGGCGGCCGGGCATGGCGTGCACGCTGCGCCAGCTGGGCCGATCGAGGCACCCCACGAGCCACCTTCTGTGGACAGAAGCCATTTTCGACGTTGCTTTGAACTATTTCACGTTTCATTGCTCGTCTCAGCGAGCTCCACACCACCAACGGCGCTCCAGAGCAGCCTCCCGGCTCGCCGGGAACGAAATGACGGCACGGACGGTGTTAAAGACCTTCTGCAGGGGCTTGGACTTCCTGTTGGCGCGAGATTGGACCGCCGCCGAGGCGCGCCGAAGAGCTGTGGTGAGTGCCTGCCGCTCTCCCAGCACCCTGCGCCACGCCGCCATCGAGGCAATGCCTTCCGTTTCAATTCAGCCCTGGACTTTGTGGCACTCTTGCAGACCGTAATGGCTAGCTCGGCTGGGGCCATGGCAACAACGGCCCGAGCTGAGGAGCTTCTCATGCACCACCGACGGATGCCGCGCCGACTGGTGTTCTTACCTGTAGCGGCAGCCCTCGCCTGCTCGGCCTGCGTGACTGCCAGGGCAACAGACCCGGGCGCTACAGCGGCGCAGCTGTGGCCTGGCGGTGCAGAGCTGGAGCTGGAGGCGATGCCATCAGGGGAGCCGCGGCACGCGCTGCCCGTGCAGACGTTTGCTGCTTCCTGGTCGCTCAGGCCGGTCCGCGGGGCTGCTGTATTTCGCCCATGGTGAGCACAGCCAGCTCTGCCTTTACTTCAAACCATGTCGGCAGCCAGCCCACTTGGCTTGGTGCCACACTCCCCGCCCCGTGCCGCAGGTGCTGCCTATCCGCCATGCAGCCACCCACACGTCGGAACAGAAGAGGAGTGGGCGGTGGCCCAGTGCTGGGGCAGTGCCAAGGCGCTGCATGTGGCAGATGGTGCTAATGAGGCAGCCTGCCGGCAGCTGGCAGCACCTGGCTTGTAGATAGGCAACTTTCTGCTTGCCTTGCCCTGCTGCCTGCCCAATTATGCTCGCTTGGTATTGTGGTCAGAGCATGTGACCCGACTCTGGGCCCCCAGGGTAGCCACTGCCACACCTCCTGCCTGTGGGTGGGATGCCGCTGCCAGCAGTGTTGCAGCAGGGGAGGGGAAATAGAGCAGCAGCAAGCAAAGAGGAAGGAGGAGCAGGATGAGCAGAGATATTTCGGGGAGGATATACATAGAGCAATTGGAAGTGTGCCAAAATGCTGTGGCCAGGCGGAGGCGGCGCAGTATGGGCGCACGGCCGCGCCACAGCTCAAATGCGGGTGGGATGGGGGGCAACACCAACATTGGGGGAGGGAGGGGGAGCGCGGCAGCACGCATATTGAATATTGGTATTGTGTGTTTGGTTAGCTATCCTAGACCAGTGCTGACTATCCTGACCGCGGGACCTGCCTGCCTAGATCAACTGTTGGGGTCGGCTGTGCGACCGGCATGCTGCTCGCGTGCATGGCTGCCGATCCATCCTGCCGCTCGGGCAGCGTAGTGCCCTGGCAACAGCCAGCTGGCCAAAATACTGCAGCTGCCCGGCTCAGCCGTGGGCCGGCGCTCAGCCGTATAGCTGCTCATGCACCGCCCACATCTTTTCCAGGGTGCGGGCGGTGGTGGCGTTGGGCTGAATGGCATGGTCCTGGCACGCCTGCGTCACCAGCTCCTCGGCATCCTTGGGGTGCGCCGTGGGGCACAGCGACAGCGCCCTGCACACGCCGGGGCGGGCGGGCAACAGGCGACAAGCGGGGACACACTGCTGTCAGCATTCACGCCAGGGTGGGCTGGGACCCATGCGCTGGGCGAATGGCAGGGAGTCGGGGAGGCACGCGCTGCCCCACCAGCCTTCCCAGCCAGCGGCGCAAACCAGCGAACGGCAGCCAACAAACAACGGGGCGGCCCTCACTTGAGCATGTCGTTCAGCGCGTCCACAGTGGGGGTGGGCGGCTCCGCCTCCCCGCCACCTCCGCCCACCAGCTCCTCGATGCTGGCATCTCTCAGGCCGATGTTGTGCAGGCCGGGGCCGGAGGGCAGCGAGAAGGAGTCGTCGCTGGCAGCCACAGAGCCGGGGGAGGACCAGAGCGCGCCGGGGGTGCACCGCGCAGAGAAGGCGTCCTGCCGCCCAACCAGGTCTGGCGCCTCGCCAGGGGGAGGACGGTTCAGGGTGGTGTGCCTGCGGGGTGGGGGGCGAGGATGCCGGTCGATGTGGAGGAGGGCAGGCGAGAGATGCGCGGCGCCGAGGCCGCGGCGACGGCGTGGCAGGCTTAGGCCCAGGACGGCAGGACCGGCGACGGGTTCAGGGAAATGGCAGCCTGCCACACAGCAGCAGCAGCAACAGCAGCAGACGAAGCAGCACAGACACAGCAGCAGCAGCCGGCGCCAGCATCTCACTTGGCCCGGTCTGCGGTGCCACGCGAGACGGCGGGCGAGGGCAGGCTGGGCTGGCGGCGGATCACAAAGTCGCCTTCTGACTCGTTGCGCCGCACCACCTCCTCATCAGAGTCGTCCTGGCGGGGGCGCTGCTTGCAGCTGAAGGGGCTGGCACAGCTGAAGCAGCCCCACTTCTGCACAGCGGGGTGGGCATGATGGGGCCAGGGAGGCTGGCGTCAGACGCGCACCAGCATGCACCATGCGGTCTCTCGCCGAGTCGCCCAGTCGGGGAGCAGGCACAATGCACAGCAAAGCTACTGGCAGGAGCAGCTGCGCTTGCACGCAGCCCAGCGCCTCACCATGGTGCCGCCGCTGCTGCCTGCGCCGCGGCTGCGCCGCCGGCCTGAGGTGGGGCCCGAGGAGCGGCCCAGGAGGGGGTCGGGCGAGGCTCCGTCGACGGGGGGTGAGGCCAGGTGGGAGTGCCACTGCTGGCTGCGCATGGCGGCGCGCAACGGTACCAACGAGGTCTGCCGCTCGGAGCAGGAGGGGCCGCCGTCAAGGCTGGAGCGAGTGCTCATGGCACCATCTGCAGAGGCGCGCATGGGGTCGTCCGCCAGGCTGGACTGCCGCCGGCATGCCGCCGCCGGCTGCCGCGCGGCTCCGGCCTGCTCGCCCAGCAGGCTGCCCGCGGGGCTGCCGCGCAGGGAGGGGCCGGGCGAGGCGGCCAGGTTGGCGGCATCCCGCAGCCGCGCCTGCACGCCCTGCCAGCCGCTGACGTCGGCGGAGCAGTCTGACCCCCAGGAGCACCGTAGGTCAGTCTCCATGTCCTGCCCAGTGCTGTGCCGCTCAGCTGCTGCGTGGCTGTGCCCCGCCTGCTGGCCATGCCCGCCGTGCCCATCCACCTCTGCCGCATGCTGCTGCTGCAAAGACGGCGGCTGTGGCTGCATTACCAGGGCTGTCAGCGATGGCAGCGGGGGAAGCTCAGGAGCCTGACACCGCTGCTGTGCTGATGGCCCGGCGGCTGCTGCTGCTTGCTGCTGCTCGCGAGCTAAGAAGGGTGGGGCCTGGCGGGCGGCGTGGTTGGGCGCGGGCTGCCACAGCAGGCTGCCCAAGCCATCCGGCGCCTGGTGGTGGGCGTGGCTAAAGGCGGCCGTGCGGTCCACCTCCACTGATGCAGAACCGCCCAATGGCAGGCTGCTGGACGGAGGCCCGGCTGCCCCAGTATCAGCAGCCCGCTGTCGCGCTGTGGCTAGCCGGAAGGCCGCAGCCTGCCGCAGGTGCTTGCGCTGCTTGTCTCCGCCGCCGCCCCAGGGTTGCTGGCAGCCCGCGGCAAAGCTGGGGGCCGCCAGCCCGCTGGCCAGCGGCGAAAAGTGCGCGTCGCCGCTGCTGCGGCTGCCGCCGGCGGCCGCTGCGGGGCCGACCGCGGCAAACAGGCCCTGCAAAGGAGAGGGCGACTTGGCTGACTGGTGAGGGGAGGCTGCCATTGCTGTGATGTGAGCTCCCCTTTGACCAGCAACCACCAATGAATGTGGCCATTTGAGGGCTTGCGGAGCATGGCAGGCGAGCGGGCGCTGCCCACCTGAGCCAGGGGGCCTGCTTCTGCCGCCGCTGCCGCCAGCGCCCCCTCCACAGCAAAGGGCGAGCCCAGCGGCGCCTCCTGCAGCGACAGCTCGCGTGCCGCGGGGCTGGTGCCGCCTGCACGCACCCAGGAAGGCGGCAGGCGGTCAACAGGGAGCAGGCAGCGACAGGTGCGGCAGGGCGGCGCCGGGTGCATGGCTGTTCAAACCGGGCCTCCCGCGGCTGCCGCCCGCCCCACCGTTGTGCCGTTTGGGAGGAGATGTGGCGTATTCAATCTCCTCGATGCTGCTGAGGGCTATATCCGCTGGCTTGGTCCGCCGTTTCCGCTCCCTGGGCGCGCTCCACGGGCTGTGGTCGTTCTTCACTCCCTGCTTGCTGCAGGGCGGCGGCGTGGACCCGCTGGCCCCAGCGTTGGTCAGGTCCTGCAGCATCGCGCCCGGACTGCAGCAAAAAAAACCTCTACTGCATCGCTGCTGTTGCTGCCCCTGCAGCCCCCAAACTCTCAGTGCACAGGGGGAGTGTTGGCTTGCCGGCAGCGGGAAGCGATGGGGCTGAGTGGTTGAAAAGGTGGTTTGCGCCGACGTGCTGTGCCTGCCGCGCACAGACGCCGCCAGGTGGTGGCGGTGCGGCCCCTAGCCCTGCTGCATGTGTGCCACGCCACCTTTATGGTGCTTAAGCATGGCTCCATCCACCTTGTGCATGCTGCACGGCTGTTCCGACATTGGGTAACCTGCAGGCTTCTGTTACCGCGCGGGAAATGCAGACACCAGCGGTAGTAACAGCAACGTGCCCACCCTAAACAGTCTCCTTCAGCAGTTCACGTGTAGTAAGTTCTGCAATTGTTGTAAACGAGAAAGATCAAATGCATCTACTAAGCAATGAAATGTGCTACATCAATGTACACAAGTTTGTGGCGATACTTCTCAGTGCGCTCTCATTCTGCCTACTGCCCCTGCTGCTGCTCCAGCGCGACTGCCTCCTCGTCGTCGCCCCGGCCGCCCGTCATCAGCCATGCCGCTAATCCAAAGAAGGGCACAAAGCGGTAAGCGGGTGCGGCACCCACGGCGCCCAGCAGCCACGCCTGCCACACGGCGTACAGGCAGGCATCCACGCCAAAGGCCCAGTCGACGCGGCTGGTGGCCAGCAGGGTGGTGAAGTACTCCCAGCGGGCCGGCAGGTCGCCAGCCTCTGGCCGTGCAAACAGCGCCCAGCCAATGCTGACCACGCCCACGGTGGCAGCCACGGCGCCGACGATGGGAGCACAGCCCGGGAGGCGCGCCGGCGCCGCCTCGCTGCCCGCCCCCTGCGCTGCTGCAGCCGCCTCTGGGGACTCTGGCGCCAGCCGCTTTGCCAGGTAAATTGGAAAGAAGACATTTGTGAGGAACTGCAGGGAGCGGGTTTGCAAGCCAATGAGGAGGCAGGCGGGGCAGGGGCTTGGTCACAAGGCCAGGGGCTGATAGGCACAACCTGCTGCTCCTCGCGCTGCCAGCCGTCACGCCTGCTTCACTGCTGCCGCTTGGGTCATCTGCCGAGCCTGCTGCTCCACCCAGGCACTCCCACCACACTGCTGTAGTGCCAGACAGGCAGCCCGTCTCACCTGTGTGCCCACCCAGATGGGCAGCTTGCTCTTCACCCGCCGCCCCAGCGGGTCTGCCAGCATGACTGGCCACCACATGAGCGACCACGCGTTGACCGCGTTGAACATCGCCTCGCTCACAGGGTGCTCCGCGATGCAGGGCACCGGGTTGAGGCCCAGCTGCAGTGCAGGCGGTGCGAGTGGAGGCACGCGTTGATGAAGCCTGGCCTGGCCAGCCAGCACACACCCTCCAGCTGTCGCGCTGCTGCACAGGCTGCGGGCAACAAGGCTCCGCAGCGCGGCACAGGAGCCTCTCACCTGCGCCAGGCCGATGTTGACATAGAAGTAATTGTAGCTCTCGTGCAGCACCGCCTGCAGCGCCTCAGGCGACACCTGCCAGGCTGGCACGCCGGGAGCGGCGGTGCTCAGCATGACGTACCCAAGGTAGCCGGCGTAGAAGGCCCACATGGCGCCACTGGCCAGCGGCAGCGTCTTGAGCACCGCGGGGTTGGCATTGGGGCCCAGCTTGCGCACCTGCGTGTGCACGGAGTTGCAGACAGCGAGCGGTGGTCACCAAGAGGGCATGGTAAGCACACCCCGGCAGGGAGTGCCGCACAGGCAGCAGACGCTACTGGCAGCTGCTGTGCCAAGCCACAGGGGTAACCCCGCCAGCTCATCGCCAGCTCACCAGCGGCGCCACCACCGAGATCCCCGACAGCGCCGCCGCCCCCGGCTTGATGGCGGGCTCCACAATGTCTCGCGCAAACACAATCTGCCCCAAGTCGTTGACCTGGAGGAAGCAGTTGTGCAGGGCGCCGCCGGCCGTGAAGCGAGCGGGCACGCATGGAACTGGGGCCTGCCACACACAACGCGCCGTGCGACCAACTCGCCAGCGGCGCCAGCGCCAGCGCCAACACCTGGCCCGGGCTGCCTGCGCGGCGCGGCGCACCTCGTAGAAGCTGACGCCTCGGCTGAAGGGGAACTCGGTGGCGCGCCCGCTGTCGTCCGCTATCTCCACGTGCCTGAGGGAGGCGACCAGGCAGCGGCGGGCGACGGGCACGCGTCAGGCGGAAGCAGTGCGCGAGCAGGCGCGGCGGACCGGCGTCCAGGCACCCAGGCCTTTCACATCCTCCTGGTGCTGCACCACCGTAAGGGCACGTCGCTCCCCTTCCAGCTCACCACCGCACGCCGCAGCGCCGCGGGTCGCCCTCGGTGATGTCCTCCACGCAGAACTTGATGTCTGGCGGCACCAGGGCCTCAATCTTGCGGAAGTAGGCGGCGATGGCGGCGCGCCCCACAAAGGGGTCCTGGTAGATGAGGTCCTCGTACACGCAGTCCTCCGCAATCAGCTCCAGCACCGCGCCCATCTGCTTCGAGTTGTAGCTGTCGTAGTAGGCCAGGGCCGCCTCGCGCGCGGTGCGCGCCGGCGCGGCGCCGGCGGCGCGTGCCGTGGCGGCCTGGCCCTCCACCTGCTGCTGCGCCTGCGTCTGCAGGCGGGGAACCACAAACCACAGATGCACATGAGTGGGACAGCAGCAGGAAATAGGCTTGCCAGCGGCAGCCGGGGCGCACACCTGTGCACTAGCCTGGCGCCGCCGCTGCTGCCGACGCCGCCACAGGAGGCGCCGCGGCGTGGCGGGCTGAGCCCAGGCGCACGCCGGCGCGTGCAGATATGATGACACCGTGGTGCTTGCCGCTCTGACTGCCGCCATGCTGCTGCCTGAAGTCGGGTGGCCAGGAATGGAGAGCAATGGGCGAGTGTGTGCAATCCTGCTAGCCCCGCAACCACAAATTCGCAGGGGAATGGATCGAATTGGTTGAAGAATGCTACAGATGCGCGCGGCGCTGGGCCGGCATCTCAGCGCCTTGGCCGCTGAGCCCGCCAGGCGGCCGACGGCTCGCCACGTTGCATCAGGGTGTGAGGAGCACGCTGCAGGCGGCTTAGCTGCGTCCTTTGTATCACATGTGGGCTTACATAGTCTGATGATTATACACTAGCTCATGACGAGGAGAATCCAGATGCGCAAGAACCGGATCCCCGCTCCCCTCACATGCGTGCCTTCATCTCGTCGATCGTCTCCTTGAGCTCCCCGGCCTCAGCCATCTCCAGCACAATGTCGCACCCGCCCAGCAGCTCGCCCTGGACATACACCTGCACAGCAGCGCCCACCGCCAGCGGCAGCAGGACCTTGGGCGCGTGCCGCTGCAGGGCCGCCTCAAACGACGCGCCCGCCAGCCGCCCGTGCCATGGCCGAGCGGCACAGGGCCCCAGCTGGGCGGCCCACCTGCGGGTAGGTGGGCCAGTTGCTGAGCTCCTTGAGCCCCTGCCGCACGCCCTCGTCCGACAGGATGTCAAATGACCCAAACTCCTCCCCCGCAGCCCGCAGCGCCTCCACCACCTTGCGGCTGAAGCCGCAGCGCGGGGCGTCGGGGGTGCCCTGCGGGCCGGGGCAGGTGGATGAGACAAGCGGAGGGTCGCTGTGCAGGTCAGTGCCGCCGCGCAACCACTAACGCACGCTGTGTCGCCGCTCTGCGCACCAGCTACCCAGCCGCAGCCCCGAAGCTGGCGCTGCCCTGCACGCCAGCGCTGATCGGCACACCCGCACACTGCAGCAAAGCCACACGACCAGCCCAAGCCGCTGGGCAGCCGCACACCTTCATGAACAGCATGACGGGCTGCTGCCGGACGAGTCCCTCCAGGTGCTGCCGCTGCGCGTCCTTGCCGCCGGCCCCCGCCTTGGCCAGCTCCTGCCCCAGCTCCCCGGCCTCAGCCATCTCCAGCACAATGTCGCAGCCGCCCAGCAGCTCGCCGGCGACGTACAGCTGCGGGTAGGTGGGCCACTGCGAGAACTCCTGCACAGCCGGGTGGGCACGGGCGAACGCAGCCGCATGATGCGCCGCAGACGGGCGTGTGATGCGCGTAGAGGCGTGGTGCAAGGGCGGTGCGAGGCCAAGCCACATTGAGACGGTGGGGAAAGCACGGGCCCAGGCGCATCAAGGCCAGCTGCCCATTGCAGTTGGGCAAGACAATGAATGCAGGACAGGCCACGGGGGCAGGGGTGCAGCGGGGCAGGCGCACCTTGAGCCCCTGCCGCACGCCCTCGTCCGAGAGGATGTCAAACGTCCCAAAGTCGGCGCCGCACTGCTGCAGCGCCTCCACCACCTTGCGGCTGAAGCCGCAGCGCGGGGCGTCCGGGGTGCCCTGCAGGCAGGAGCAGGTGGATGGAAGAAGCGGAGGGGTTTGGGAGAGCATGCCAGCCAGGGTGCTGCAAGCCAGCCTGAGATGTGCAGGAGCGGTGTGGTTTGGCGCACGAGGCAGATGGATGCAGGCGGTGCAGGGCAGTGCGGGTCCCGTCTGGGTGCGTGCGTGTCAGAGCAAGGATGACTGTTTCAGCGGTGCTTTCCTCCTGGGGGACACACTGCCAGGTGATGTACTGTTTGCTCAGAGGCAGGTCCTCGGACTGTGCACCTTTCTCATCACACACGCGCGGCCGAGGCGCCACAGCAGCGATGCAGCAGCATGCAGGCATGGTGCACGCGGAAATGCAATCCAAACCTTCATGAACAGCATAACCGGCTTCTGGCTGACTAGCTGCTTCAGCCGCTCCTGCAGGTCGCCCTGGCCTGCAGGCGCATCGACAAGGGCAGGCGCAGCACGGCACGTGCCTCGGCTGTCGCTCCGGGGCACCCTTCTCAGAACCCCACAGTGCTGCTAGCTGGCCAGCTGGCCACGTTCCACCCCCTACGCACCGCTAATGGATGGCTGCACGTAGCTGGGTGGGGCTGCCGCCGCTGCTGGTGACGCCGTAGCGCCGCCGCCGTTCGCTACCGCACCGCCGACGCCCGCAAGAGCTGCAAACTTGGACGACAGCGCCGCTGCGTCTGCCCCCTCTAGGCTGTCCACCACCTTGCCGTCACGGAAGAATAGGAAGTAAGGCACTACAGACACGCTGTACTGCTCCGAGATGTCCGCAGCCTCCTCAGCCTCCACGCGCACCACTGCCACCGACGGCGAATCCGCTGCCAGCTGCGCTAGTACACTGTCCAGGAACTTGCAGGGCTCGCACCAGGCGGCCCAGAAGTGCACCACCGCCTGCACGTTTGGTGGTTCGGAGGGCGGCGGCAGCGAGCAGTGAGAATGGTTTTGTGGAAGGGCGGCAGCGGCGGAAGCAGCAGGCGTGATGGCGGCAGCGCATGATGGCGGCTGCGGCTCACCAGCGCGCGGCTGGTAATGGCCTTCTGGAAGTCCGCCAGCTCGCTTGCGTCTGTGACGGGCTGCATGGTGGCTGATTGCAGCCCGGCGATCATATCGGCGGCCTCCTGCACAGTCTGTGGCGGTACATGCAGGCTGTATCGATCCGTGATTGTCACTGAGGGCGTAGCGGCGCAGCAGACTCAAGCGCGGCTCCCAGCAGTACTCGCCAGCCTGGAACCGTACCGTAATGCATACCTCTTCCGGAAGCAAGTAACACTGCTCAATCGCACATTACACTTCTGAAAGCAGCCCCAACAGCTGGGAACCTGCCAGAGAGCCGCCAAGGTTGCCAACAACTCCAGAGCTCTCGCAATGGTGCAGCAGGGGGAGCTCAATGGGGTCACAGAAGACCAGGAAGGGGCCTACACGCCTCGGTGCATACTGGTGGGTGGCGGCGCCTTTGCTGGCCCGACTGCCGCCGGCCGGCGGGCGGATGGAGACGCTCAGGCACAGTGTGCCGCATGCGTACTGCACAGGTCACTGGCGGCGCAGGGTTCATCGGCAGCCACGTCGCCATCCGCCTGCTCAAACGCTACAGCTACAAGGTGCGGCAAGAGGGTCCATGCGCCACTTGCTGGAGCGCTCGACTCGCCCACGCGCCACTTGCCGCCGCCGCCACTGCCTTGCCGCCTCCCCCGCCTTCCCCCCAGGTGGTGGTACTGGACAAGCTGGACTACTGCGCCTCAATGCACAATCTGCGCGAGGCCCAGGACCACCCGCGGTTCAAATTCGTGAGGGGAGACATCACCGGCGGGCTGGACCTGGTGCAGTATGTGCTGCGCGAGGAGGGCGTCGACACGGTGCTACACTTTGCGGCCCAAACACACGTGGACAACAGCTTCGGCAACTCCCTGGCCTTCACCGCCAACAACACGTGCGCCTGACAGCCGTGGCTGGGCCACAGCCGCCACTATGTGCTGGCAGGATTGCTGCTGCCGCCTGCCGGCATGTGTCATGCGCCTCCCCCTGCCCTCAGGCTACACTCGACAGCATGCCGTGGTTTGTGTGGCTGGCTGGCGCAGGTATGGCACGCATGTGCTGCTGGAGGCCTGCCGCGTGTACGGCAGAGTGCGGCGGTTCATCAATGTCAGCACCGACGAGGTGTATGGCGACACATCGTTCGGCGCGCTGGCAGGTGGGAGGCGGCCGGGCACCCTGCCTACTCGCATGGCTCACAGCCACGTGATGTGCACCGAGCGCTCCCCAGCCACTCCCTGCTGGCAGGCCTGCCCGAGAGCAGCAGCCTGGCTCCCACCAACCCATACTCTGCGGCCAAGGCGGGAGCCGAGCTCATGTCCCTCGCCTACCTCACCTCCTACAACCTCCCCGTCATCGTCACCCGCAGCAATAACGTGTTTGGGCCGCACCAGTTCCCCGAAAAGCTCAGTGAGTGCGCTTGAGCTGGGTGGAGGCAGCAACCCGAAGAGCTCAGGGGCATACGCAATCCCGTGCCGCCCCCCGCAGTCCCCAAGTTTGTGCTGCTGGCCAGCCGCGGCGAGCGGCTGCCGGTGCACGGCGACGGGCTGGCCACCCGGTCGTATCTGTATGTGGCTGACGTGGCAGAGGCCTTTGACATCATACTGCACAAGGCGAGCGGCGGGGGTTCTGGCCTGTTCGGCACGGCAACGGTAGCCGCACGAGGCAACAGCAGGGCAACAGGAGGGTGGATACGACGGGCGGCTGGGGCAGAGTGCGAGGCGTGGCGCTGGCAAGCCAGGAAGGATACCATCTAAAGATTGGCCCCTCCATGCCTGGCGGCGAGCATCTGCAGGGCCAGGTGGGCCAGGTCTACAACATCGGCAGCCAGCAAGAGCGCACCGTGCTGGATGTGGCCGCCGACATCTGCGCCGTCTTCCGCCTGCCGGCGGGCAGCCAGGTGGAGCATGTCAGGGACCGCGCCTTCAACGACAGAAGGTACCCAATGCCGCCTGCTCTAGAGGTCTGCTGTCAGTCCGTGCTCTCCTCTCTTGCATCTGATTGAGGAATGAGAAGAGAGGTAAAGCTGGGATGGGAGTCGACTGCAGGTACTTCATTTGCGACGCCAAGCTTTCGGCGCTGGGTTGGCGGGAGAGCACGCCCTGGGAGGCGGGCCTGCAGAAGACTGTGGACTGGTACCTGCGGCATGCAGAGGACCACTGGGACAAAGGTGGGTGGATGTGCGCGATGGTGGCGGTGATGGCAGTACCAGCACTTTACAGCAGCACTTAATAGCTGCTCGCCCTGAACCTGCCCTCCCATGGTTGCTGCCGCGGCGTGCCATGTCGTGCAGCCAACGTGGAGGCGGCGCTGGAGCCCCACCCATTCCCACCGCACTCACCAGCCAGCTCCACCTAGCCTGCGCTTCAAGCTGGCCTGCTACGGTGGCGCTGCGCTGTTGAGCGCAGATGGAGGGAAATGCTGAGATTGCGTATTTGGTGTGTGGAACAGCATGTGAAAGTTCGATTGGATTAAGCACAGAGCACAGAGCTGAGCGAAAGGAGAGAGGAGGCGAAAGAACCAGGGAGTAGAAGAAGAAGCAACACGCAAACGCAAACACAAACCAGGCAATGTACAGGGCGGGGCGGCTGCTGCGGGCGGGGCGCACGGGCTGCTGTCGCTGCTGCATCAGCAGCACAACAGCACCAACAGCTGCCTGCCCCAGGTACCCATGCGTCAGTCAAAGTCCGAGTCCTCGTCCGACTGGGTGCGTTGCCGGTGCTGCCGCGCCAGGCCGTGCCGCATGGTGCGCGCCGCCTGCGCCGCCTCCTCGTCGTCCGAGTCGTCCTTGCGCTGCGGCGGCGGCACCACCACCCCCGCCTTGAGCAGCTTCTTCTCCACCTGGCCCAGGGGAGGAGGTGCAGGCACAGGGCATGGTGGGATGCGGCAGCAGGCATGGAGCAATGGGGAGTGCGCAGCCAACAGGCAGGACTGTGTGAATACCTAGCAGCCGCCAGCCGGTGTCACAAAGCACCTCCCTGGCCAGACCCGCCACCTCCCCAGCCAGCCAGCCAGTGCCCCGCAGCCGCACCTGCGAGGTGGGGAAGTCGTCGGTGGCCCCCAGCGCGTCGAAGCCGATGATGCGGTCTGCCGCCACGCCGTTGAGGAACATGACCACGCAGGGCAGCATGCGCACCTGCAGCTTCTCCACAAAGAAAGGAGCGTCCTGCATGGGGGGCCAGGGGCGGGACGGCAATCAATTGCGGAACGACTGATCCGCCACTCAGCAACCGAGCGCGGGCAGCAGGCACGCCAGCGACAGCGCGGCCACTGGCTGCCCCAGGACCAGCCTCACAACTCCAGCAGCCCTGCTCGCGTCTCTGCTGCCAGCCTCTCTGCCCGCTGTGGCTCACCGGCGCCGACAGCTTGATGAAGCGTGTGTCGAAGAACTTGCGGGCCAGCAGGCCCAGGTGCTTGTCCATGATGCGGCAGCGCTCGAACTCGCGGTGGAAGAAGTGGCACACCACCCGGTCGCTCTTGGTCACCGCCTCCAGGAAGTCGCCCTCTGCCACCTCCTCGTACGAGCCTGCCGCAGGCAAGGGCGGTGCCCACAGGCTGCGAGTGGGCGAGCGGCAGGCGGCGGCGGCGACGCGGGCGGGCGGCAGGCAGACACGTGTCCCTCCTCCGAGCCAGCGTATTTTACTAGAGCAAGGAGCCGATCCAGCGAGGGCTGCAGGTAGGCAGGCTGCGCGCCATGCCCCTCCCGCCCGCCACCTCACCGTGCCCCTTCTGCTGCATCTTGGCACGCTTCTCGACCTCCCGCTGCAGCGCCGCCAGCCGCTCCGCATGCAGCTTCTCTAGCTCTGGGTCGTCCAGCAGGTCATCCACATCCACTTGGGCATAGGTGGGCCCGGCTGCCGCCGCCGCCTGTGCCGCCAGCAGCTCCTGCAAGGCAGGCTCGGCGGGGCCGGAGGTTGGAGCCGGAGCGGTGCTTGTCCGCGCTGCGATGCAGCGATGCAGGGAGCCGCCGCTGCGGCTCCCCGCGCAGGATGGGAGTGCACAACGCTCCCACCTGCTTGTAGTCCTCTGCCGCCTTGCCCATCGCCTGGCCAAAGGCCAGGCTGTGCATCTGGCTCTTGACCTTGCCCACGTCCATCCTGCCTGAATGACTGACACAACAGAGGGGAGTCTGGAGCCGGGTGATCAGACAGGCATCTCCAGCTGCAGCGTCTGGCCCCCCTGCGCAATCGGCAGGGTGTGCGGGCAGTTGCAATGGGAACTGAGCACGCCAGAAGCCTCCGTCGCACAGCTTCCCTCAGTTTGACCTGCCACCTGTGTTGACGGAGCAGACCCGCCCTCCCTTTCGTTCGTCAGCATCCAATTGGGGCTCGGCGGCATGCTGAAATCGTGTTGCCGAGTGCCGGGGGCGTAACGCGAGCACCGAGTTACGGCCATGCAGCCGGCCTCCCTCAACCGGCCCCGCGCGCTGGGCACAACAGGCGGCAGCTCGGCACCCTGGGAGAGCGCCGCGGGCAGCCCCGCCCACCGACCAGCGCCAGGCTTTGGCAGCGGCGGGCGTCCGGGGCTGCCGCCGCCACCAACCGCCGCCTCCGCCGACATGGATTCGCTCGACCTCTTGCTTGGGGGCGGCGGCAGCCCCTCGCCCAGCATCGGCTCCCGACCTTTGACAGCGCCCCAGCCGGCAGGGCTGACGAGCGTGACATCGCGCCCCGTCACGCGTGCCTCCCTTTTTGGAGGCAAGCGCAGCGGCCGCTTGCGAGGCTGCCTTGGCATGCCCCGTTTGGTGCTTGCTGTACCACTGGCAATCCTGGCTCTTCCCACACTGCCAATGCAGATGACGATGCTCTGCCGCTGCCAGAAGATGAGCGGTCGTCGGCAGCTCCGCTGGCGGGGCAAAAGCCTGCCCCTGCCGCTGCTCCTGCGCCAGCGCTTGCTCCACGTCCTGCTCCTGCTGCGTCTCCAGTTAGTCAGGCCAGCCCCCAGCAGCCACAGTACTCGTCGCAGCAGGTGCAAGCCAACCACGCCTACCAGCCCCGCGGGCCCAGCGCAGCCACTCCCGGCGCCTCCGCTGCTGCCGTGCCAGCACAGCAGCTACACGCAGCGCATGCGGCGCCACAGCACATGCCGCCACCGTCCATGCCGTCGGCAGCCCAGCAGCAGCAGCTTGCTGTGCTGCAATCCCGGGTGGATCAGTTGGAGCTTCAGCTGGAAGAGGCGGGCGAGAAGTGTCGCAGCGCCGAGGGCGGTGAGGCGTCTGCTCGGCAGGCGCTGGCAGCAGCCCAGGCCGAGGCGTCCGCGCTGCGGCAGCGGCTGGAAAGCACCAACGAGGCGGCTGTGGAACAGATGCTAGCAGAGGTGGACCGCCTGGCTGCTGGAAAGCAGCAGGCGGAGCAGCAGGCAGGGCGGCTGGAGGAGAAGCTGCGGCAGGCGGAAGCTGAGCGCAGAGGGCTGGATGGCCGGCGGGACCAGGCAGAGGCGGAGTTGGCAGGCATGCAGCTGCAGCTGGCGACGTCCGCGCAGCAGCTGGCAGATAGCCAGCGTCGAGCCGAGGAGGCTGCCGCAGAGGTGAAGCGGCAGGCAGAGCAGGTGGCGGTGCTGAAAGCCGAGGTGGCTAAAGTCGCCGTCGCCAGCGGCCAAGCGGACGAGGTGCGGCAGCAGCTCCTGCGGCGGGAGGCAGAGATGGCGGCGGCCACCCAGCAGGCCGCGGCGCTAGCCAAGCAGCTGGCGGCAGCTGAAGCAGAGGCCGCATCCGCGGCAGCAGCTACTAAGAAGGCCGTTCGGCGACAGCAGGCGGCCGAGGCGGCCGCGGCCAATGCCGATGCCCAGCGGCGGTGTGTGGCTGGGCAGCTGGAGGAGTGCAAGCAGCACCTGGCCAGCGGGCAGCAGGTGCGGCATCCCGCGCTGGCTGCTTGATCACATGAGCCCGCCTCCCTGCACCTCTGTTCTCACCAGGCAGATACTGATGGGTCGCTTGTGTGGCGCCTGCCTGCCTGCCTGCAGATCCTTCGGGAGTTTGAGGGGCACCTCCGCACCGTGGCAGCTGAGCGGGACGCCGCACTGGAGCAGCTGGAGTGCGCAGAGGGGCGGCACGAGGAGGCGGAGCGGCGGCTGCGGGAGGCGGAGCGCTTGGAGGTGCGGGGTGCTGTTAGTGCTGGCGCTGCCGAGCCTGCCGCCATGAGTTTGGGGGTGAACTGGTGTCCCTGTGCCAGCATGGTGTGCCAGCCACAATGGCTCTGTCATGTCGGCAACAACGTGCTCTTGGACCTGGCATCAATCACTCGTCCATGTTTCCTCTACACGTGGCGAATGTGCAGGCCAGCAACGCTCGGCGGCAGGCAGACCTGGATGCGCTGCAGGCGGAGGCGGACGGCGTGGTGTCGCACCTGCGGGGGCAGCATCGCGCGCTGGCGGCCAGGGAGCGCGAGGCAGCAGGGCGGGAGAAGCAGCTGGCGCTCAAGTGAGGGAGGGCAAGGCCTTGCTGACTTGGCCTGTGGGCTTCTGGACATGCCATCCTCATAGGCTGACCTGTGTTCCTGCCCTGATGGCCATCTGCCCGCCTGCCCGCCCTCCTGCCTGCGTGATTGCAGGGAGAAGGACCTGGGCGCTCAGGAGTCCATCCTTCTGGAGCAGCAGGCGGATGTGGGCAGGCAGGAGGAGGGCGCCGTTGCGCTGAAGGAGCAGCTGCTGCTGCAGCAGCAGGAGGTGGAGCGGGCCAAGGCGCAGCTGAACCAGCAGCGCTCGGCGCTGGAAGCGGCGCAGGCGCAGGCGAGCTTGGCTTGCGGCTCAGTCTGCCTCGGCCACCCATGCCCCAGTGTGCGACAGATGGGGGCAGCCAACCCCTGCACCCGCTCTGCCATGTCCGCTCCCCGCAGGTGCAACGTGACCAGGCATCTCTGGCCCAGGAGCGCGCCCTTCTAGCCGACCTGCGCTCCCAGCGCATGGCCGAGCAAGAGGCGCTGCTGACGCGGCTGGGAGAAGAGCGCGCGGCGGCGGCGCGGCAGCAGAGCAGCGCTGAGCGCGCTGTGGATGCTGCGCGTGGCGCGGAGCTGGAGGCCGCCAAGCTGCTGGCCGACCTGCAGACACAGGTGTGCTGCCCACCGTCCCATGGGGACCGTTCAATGGGGACAGCGTCAGTAGTATGTGTTTGAAATGTAAGTGTTCTCAGCGACGGGGGCAGTTAAGATCAGCAGTGTGACTGCTCGATGCTGGATATGCTAATGGCTGTAGTGGTCCCTTGTCATGCAGGCATCCAACGCCAAGCAGGCAGCCGACGGCGCGCAGCAGCGCCTGCAGCAGCTGCAGGAGCGGTGCGCTGCCGAGGAGGCGCGCCTGTCGGGGCTGCAGACGGCGGTGCTGCAGCAGCGCCAGGGCTTTGACGCGCAAGTGCGGTCGCTGCTGGAGCTGGGGCAGCAGGTGGGCGTTGCTGGTAGATTTGTTGGTGCTCTGGTAGTGTCACTGCTCTCTGCCTATGCATGCACAGTATACGTTGCACAAAGCTTGATGCACACCCATGGAGGGGCCTTTACTGCATGCACTTGGCCGTTGCGCAGGTGAAGGGCCAGTCGGACGAGCTCTCCTCAGGCTATGCCCAACTGCAAGAGGCCCAAGCCGAGCTGGAGCAGCAGCGGCAGCAGCTGGAGGAGCTGCAGCGGCAGGCGGAGGCGGAGCGCAAGGCTGCCAAGACTGACAGGACGGAAGCAGAGGCGGCAGTGCAGCAGGCAGCAGAGGCGCGCCTTGCGGCGGCCGCAGAGCAGCGCAAACTGGGCCAGGAGCGGCTGGAAAGCCTGAGGGCGGCCGAGGTGGTGCGAGGCCTGCAGCTCACACTGGCGGCACACGTACGTACGGCGGCGGCTGCACAGCTGCCGCATGCGGCAGAGCTGTGGCACCAGCTGCAGGCAACAATGGGAGTAGACATGCGATTGCCACCAGCAGGACAAGGAGAGGTGGAGGCAGCTGCCGCTGGCAGCACCGTAACAAGCGTGGCAGCGCTGCCGCTGCCGCAGCTGCCGCCTCAGGAGCCGCCTCGGCTGCCACCTTGGGGGCCTGGGTCAGCACCGCTGATGACAGCAATGGCGGCAGTGGGAGCGGCTCCACGCGCTGCACATGAAGCTGTTGCAGCTCAGCAGCAGGCGACATCTCAAACAACAGCCGCACCGGCGACCGATGACAGCCAACTTCGGTATCGAGCCATATTGGCCAGCTTGGAGAGCAGCATCGACCGCTGGCGAGCCCAGCTGCGGGCCGGCGAGCAGCTAACTTTCGGCGGCGACGCCACCCACTATGCGCCGAGCAGCCTCCCGGGAGCAAGCTCTGGGCCGCTGGGAGGTGCGACCTTCTTCCTGCCTGCTCCATCCGCCGGCGCCGCCATTAGCGGTGGGCGCCCGCCCGCGACAGAGAGCAGCAAGGCAAGGAGCAGCAGGAAGTTTGAGAAGAGCAAGCCGGCGGGAGTGCGGCAGGAGGCTGACGAGCACCGGGATGCAGGGGACTCGGGCAGCGAGGATCGGACAGAAGATGAGGAGGCAGCGGTGGACGTGCGCCCGCGCAGCCCAAGCCGTGCAGTGCAGACGGCTGTCAGCTGCCTCGATGATGCCCCCAACGCATTCGGTGGTGGTGTGAGCAGCGCCCCTTGCTCTCCAGCCCGCCAGCGCAGCGGCAGGGCACGTGCTGCAGCTGCCCCACGCCCCGCCAGCGCCAGCGCCGCAACCACGGCCAAGAGAGCGAGCGGCAGCAGCTCAGGCGGCAGCTTCAGCGCGGGCGATGTGCGGGCGGTGCATGGGATTACCATCCCCGCCTCCTTCTCGCTGCCCGGCAGCCCGCAGCATGCCAAGCCCCGCAAGTGGCTCAAGTTCAAGTCTGGCCCTGGCGGCGGCGTGCAGCCCAGCATGCAGAGCACGTGGGAGCTGGATGGCTGCGGCACCAAGGGCGGCTGGGGAGGCATCTTTGCCTTCAGGCGCAGCTTGGACGGCGGCAGCGGCGGGACAAAACAGTAGCGCACTCAACTGCGCCATTGCTTTGCCTTGTGCCTGCCTCAATGCTGCCGTGTTTATCTCTTACCACTGTGGCTATAATGTGGCGGTAGTAGCAAAACAGACAAGAATGGGGTCATCTCGTTGCAAAAGGATCTGGCGGGCACAGTCGATGTATCTCACGCGTTGCTAGCGGTTCGTTTGTATGTATCAGGCCACGGCATGGTGCGGGTGCGAGCAGGAAAACATGGAAAAACTGTGTGCAGTGGGGACAGATGCAGGGGAGGTATGGAGTCACGGAAAACCGTTCTGGAACAAGCCAGAAGGAAAGAATACAAGAATGTGCATACAACAAGGCCGAAGGCGAAGAGAAGTGCACTAGTACAGGGAAGGAGGCAGAGGGAGGGTTGGACAGAGACAAACGGCATGGCATTGCTGCCAGGACTTGTGCGCTACTGGAGCCACACGGCCAGCTGCTGGCTCGCAGTGGCCAAAGCCTCAGAGCCTGCTGCCCCTGCTGCTGCTGCTGCTGCCGCCCTCGGCGAGCTGCCTGCCCACCAAGACCGCGGGTAGCGCCTGCGCCAGCTCTGGCGGCAGCGGGCGGTCTGGGTTGAGCCAGCGGGTGCAGCACACGCCTTTGAACATCTTGAGTGGCCGGCCAGCCTGCGCCTCCACTGCTGGCGCGGCAGACTCTGCAAGGAGGAGCAGGTGCAGTGGTGGGACGGGGCCAGGGGAGGCACAGTGAATTGATGGATCCCGGGCAGTGGGCACAGCAAGCTGGCAGGGCAGCGCAGCAGCGGTCGCTGATGCAATGCTGCTGTGTTCAAGGCCGCCCCAGGCCGCCTGGCTCACCCGCGGGCTGCAGGCGCTGCTGCCAGTCGGTCACCAGCGCAAGCTCCGTTTTGGAGTGCTGCGCAGCGCGGCCCGGGTGGAAGGCCACAATGCAGTTGGCGGCGGTGGGCAGCGGCAGCTTGCCGGGGCGCTGAGACCAGTTGAAGCCCGAGTTGCGAAGGTAGGTGCCCACTGCAGGACAGCGGCGGCGGAGAAGAGAAGCAGCAGGAGGGCGGTTGGTGGCCGAGGTGCATGCAGAGGGAGGGACAGCGCGGGCTTCACGCAAATGCCAGTGAACAGACGGCAGATGAGAAGAGATTAGAGGGCAGCCTCCACCCAGCCAGGCCAGCCACCTGCTATCGTGAATGCGCCCATGCGGCTGCAGCGCTCCAGCGCGGGGCCAAAGCCCTGGTCGTTGCTGACGCACACCACCGCCCCGGCTGGGCCGTGCTCCTCTGCAAAGTAGATCATATCCCCTGCGCAGCAATGAGGGAGCGGCGGGGCACAGGGCGTGTGCGGTGAGGCACACGCGCACGCAGGCAGCTACGGCTGCCAGTCGGCCGCACCACAGCGGCATGCTGCGACGAGAAGTTTGAGACGAGTCGCCATGCCCACGCGAACAGCATGGGTGGGCAGCTGCCCGGCTCACGTCGCATCAGCAGATCTGCTGCGTCCTTCTCCAGCCCCGCCACCGCCAGGTCCGCCTGCAGCACCTCCAGCACCGCCTGCAGGCAGACAGACACGCACACGGCAGCAGGAGTGAGCCAGCCAGCAAGGCATGTAGCCTAAGTGGCAAAATGCGTACTCCAAGCTGACTGAAGCAGGTGGCTGGCGGTGTCCGGGCTCCCTGCGCTGCAATATGTGCCAGGATGGTCTGCTGGCGCACTGGGGGGGGCAGCTGGCCCAGCGCACCTCCCACGACTCGCTGCTGCTGCGGTGGCGGAGGCGGTTCACTGTGCGCTCGTTTGCAAAGGCGGACAGCGAGGGCACGAGGCCGGTGACGCGCTCCACTGTTCGCTTCAGCCGGTGCCCAATCACCAGCGCATGCTCCGCATTCTTGGCGCTGATGTTGTCTGCGGGCGGCAGCGGGCACGACATTGTGGTGGGCAGCAGCGCCGCACGGCGGCAGAGTGGGGCGGCGGCGCGGCGGCCCAGGCGGCGGCCGCTCAGCAGCAGCAGCAGGTGAGGCGGCCAGACCCCTCGCACCTAGGTCCCAGAACACACGCGCGCTGCGCGGGGGGGCCTGCACTCAGTTTTCAAGGGGGTCTGATCGTTGAACTCGTTGCACTTGCATGGAGCCCTGCGGGAATCTCTACAGCTTCCCTAGCTCACCCGAAGCCCACAGCGGCACTCGAGCCGGCGAGAGGTCCCTGCAGTGGGAAGTGTCTGCAACTGCGCCATGCAGGGCCAAACCTGGGCCCCAGACCCCTGTTAAGGAAGCGGGAAAGGTCCACCAACCGACAGCGCACCGTGGTTTTGATACACGAGAGTTTTGGGAAAGTGCTAGGGCCATGTCGCAGCGTGCTGCAGCGGCGGGATGCTGGCGCTGCCGACTTGCCTCCACACCAGCGCTGCTTGCATTTTCTAGTGTTACAATGCATGCATCTCATGCAGATGCATCAAGGGAATCATGCAGGGCAGCAGCTGCCTGCTCAGCGGCTCAGCGGCCAGCATCCCCCAACCGGGCTGCACAACTCCAAGGTCCTCGTTGCAGCAACCCAACTCTAGGTGTTGCAGGCAGCTGTAGCTGCTCGGCATGTTCAGGGGAAGGCGCAGCTGCTGGTAATCAGTCTGGTGGCTCGGCGGTCCAGGTCCCTGCCACGCTGCCCGCGCACGGCAGCGGCGGCAGCGGCAGGCCGGCCTCTTTCGCCCAGCCTATCACCAGCTCCGCCTCCTCCGCCGCCTGCTGCTCCTCTGGCAGCCAACGCTCGTCCCAGACCAGGCACCTGCCGGCCGCCGCGGGCAGCGGGTGGCGACCATAATCTGGCGGAGGTGCCCAGGGCGGCCGCCGCCGCGTCCTCAGCGGATCCGTCACCGCCAGCGTGGCCACACCACGGCTGGCTGCAAACCGCAGCATGGCCGCAAAGCCAGAGTCGTTGGACACACACGCCAGGGCAGCAGTGTGGCAGCAGCAGCCGGCGAGGGCGGCGCCTTGCCGCGAAACCAGGCGGTGCACGTCAGCGGCCATGGCCCGGTCTGCAGCGTTCCTGCGGTGTCGTCGGGGAGATGGGGGTGGAGGCGGCGGTGAAGGGCTGAATGGGGCAGGACAACATGCGGGAAGCATGCATGCCAGCCAGCTGCCGCCTCACCTCCTCACTTTCACAGCCACCAGGCGGGCACCGATGCACGCCAGCGCACGCTCAACCGCTGCGCTGCCGTCCTCTCCCGCCAGCCTCATCAGCGTTCGCTCATTGGCGTATGCAGTCAGCTGCCAGCCTGCAACGTGACATGGTGGTAGGCTGCTGCCGCCGGCCTGCGGTGCCGCTGCTGCCTGCGCCATGTGCTGCTGGACCGCGAGCAGCAGGCGGCGGCCAATGATGGGCGCATGGCCGATGTGCGCCACAGGGATGTTGTCCAAATCCCACAGGATGAGGCAGCAGTGTGCTGCATCAGGGGCCGCCGTCGCCTGCTGTGCTACACTGGCAGCGGCGGCGGCGGTGCCACGCGAGCAGCGGTGGGCTGATCGGCGGATCGATCGTATATGTGCAGCAACCGCGGAGCCGAGTGGGAGGCACTGAGCAGCACTGTGGAGGGTGAGGCTTGAGGCCGTCACCAACCCTCCCGGCAAAAACTGCAGCCTTGGGTGCGATGCCGCGCAACAGTCAAATCGTGGATGCATTCGGAGTGCTCAATTTCACGCTGCAAGCTCTGGCGAGCAACCTAATGATGAATTCACTCCACGTCAGCCTGGGCCAAACACTAAATTCGCTCTCAACCCGCCTTCGGCTGCGTTATTTAAGACCCGATCAATCCACCAAAACGACAACCAACGCCATTCCACTCACGCAAGCCCGCCAGCAGCTCCCCGAAACCAGTCTCACGGCTGCAGCAGCTCGGCACTCGCATACAGAGCCAGGGAGCACTTCAGGAGCCCGCCACAGTGTTCATGGTGCAGAGAGGCCTGCTGCTGCGAGCCAGCGACCACCAGGTGGCGGAGGTGGCGGTGCCGCTGCCACCGGCAGACCCCAATGCGCTCCAGCCAGGCAGCTACGCCCCGCTGCTGCCAGGAGCAGGTGTGGAGCTGCGCACCGCCCGCTGAGCGGCGCTAGCTGTGTCAGAGCACACGTTTCACTTCCTACCAGGCCCCTCTAACCTGCCGGCTTGCCGGTGCAGACCGGGAACATCTTCTGCTGGCCGCGGTCCCGCTGAGCGAAGCAGCCGGCAAGCGTGTCGTGCTGGTGTACGATGCCAGCAGCAGTGGTGCACTCAATGCCATCGCCACGCGGCTGACCACTGGCGCAGATAAGGACAGGCTGGAAGTGCAGGCAAGGCCCTGGCTTGTGCCCGCTCTCGGCACAGTGGCTGGCAGTCCCCAGCTGCGGCTGCTTTCCAGCTGCGGCAGCGCTTTGCTGGCAATCGACGGAAGCATACCAGCACCTGCAAAGAATGCCATAGCCTGATGCCCTCCCTTTTCCGTGCTGCAACTCTACCGGCGCAGCGGGGTCCTCCCAGCATTGCCAGCACACTTCATGGCATGTTGGGCACCCCCGCTTGCCACCGTAGGTGCGGGGCGATGCGCTGGCCTTCTACGCCCAGCCTGGCGCCGACCTGGGGCGCCGCGACTGGCAGCAGCTGGACAACGCCATTTACGATGAGCTGTCTGACCCCGGTGCCGACATGCAGCAGGTGGTGGCAGACCTGAAGGCGGGTGAGAGATGGCGGGGCAGCAGGGACTTCCCAGCCCGACAGAAGCGTGCCTGAGGTGCCGTGGGGGCAGGTGCAGCAAGCGTGGGATGGGCCTGGTGGCCCTGGCAGCGCAGGTAGCTGGTGTACTGGGCCCTGTGTGGCCTGCCTAGCAAGTGGAGGTGCGCCCCGCTGGCGAGAAGCCACCCGCCACCTCGCGCCGCTCTCGCCTGCGCGTGCCATCGCTCCCTTGGGCCTCCCTGTAACCTTGCAGGGCGATACGACTGCAGCAAGCGGCACGAGGGCGAGGAGGGTGAGGATGTGAACAAGGATGATGCGGGGGAGGACCTACAGGATGCGCTGCGCGAGGCGTGATCGCCAGAGGAGGGCCGGGCGCACGGCGGGGCACGGCCGGCGGGCAGGCGCGGCGCCTGCTGCTGCCTGCCTGTACATTGCCAAGCAGCGGCCCTGCGCAAGCCTGTGGTCGCGCGCCTGCTAATCTTTTCCTGGTGGTTTTATTTGTTTCAAAAGCAAGCTCCCACAGGATGTAAGGAGCGGTGCACGTGCACCACCGTCTGGCAGGACGGAAGGTCCAGGAGCAAAACACAGCAGAGTGAAACTTATTCTAATCAATGAAATCACAGTCAGAAGGGTGCAAAGAAGCGGGCAGACGAAATACAAGGGTAGCAAAAGGGGATACCATATGATACAAGGGATCGATTACAAAACGCATCTCGGAAGTCGCCAGCTGTTAAGAGCTGGCGCCGCGCTCGCCGCCTGCCGCCCTCAACGCATCCACACGCCCGTTGACCACGCGCTGCACCCAGCCGGCGGGCAGCAGAAGGGCCGCGGGACGCAGAAGCGAGGAGTATGTCAGGCCAAGCGGGCCTCGGTGCAGGTACAGGGGGTGCCGCATCACCTGCAGCTAGGGGAGGGCAGATCGGATGTGTGCGACATTCTTGAGTCAAAGGCAGCGTCCCACCTCTGGAGGATTGCGCTGCTGCAGAGCCTGCCCAGCAGCAGCTCGCACCTGCTTGTACTGGGGCAGCAGGGGAGGCGCCCTGCACCAGCCCACCGGGCAGCAGGGTGCTGCCATTTGCCCGCAGGGCATCAGCCCAGATGCCCCCCCACACTAGACCCCAACCCACCTGCTCAATGGAGTCAAAGACGCCCAGGTCCTCTGCAGCCTGCGCCTCCGGCTCCACATACTGGCAGAATGCATCCGAGGCGCCGTCCCAGTCCACTGTGCCCCTGGCGTGCACCCCCCACCCCATGGGACGACCCTCCAGCCGCAGCCGCGCCACCGCCGCCTCGTGCAGCGGCCTGCAGCGGGGCACAGCTTTCATGTTGCATCCAGCGGTGCAGTGGTCCAAGGGAGTCTGTTACACTGTGCCGTGCCCACGACTGTTGTGGGTGCTGCTGCTGCTGGATGCGAGGCCGGGAGTCTCACCGGTCCACTGTGTAGCTGTCCACCCGGATCCAGCGCTCCTGCGGCGGCACCTGCACCTCTGTGTACGTGTGCGTCACCCGCCTGGGTCCGGCCCAATCGGGGAAGCAGCCAGCCAGAATGCCGGCGTCGATGTTGACGGCGTGGATGCGGGCCTGGAAGCCCGCAGCACGCAGCAGATCCACAAACAGGGAGGCCTTGGGGTTACAGTGGCCCCTGCGAGGGGTGGCAGGTTGGGCGTGGTGGGTGTGAGCTCACCCCTCGAGGCAGGCGGGGATGGGGCGGCGGAGAGCGCAGCGGGCCCACAGGCGCTGGCACTCGCCTGTTGGATTTCACAGTTCTCAGGGGTGGCGCAGCATCGAACTGAGCTGTAAAGCCGAAGGCGATGTCGCGAACAAACGTGTGCAGCGCAACTGCGCGCTGGGCGGGGGTGGTGCTGCCCCCAGTCAACCGCAGCACAAGCTCCTGCAGCTCGGCCATGGTACAAGGGCGCACATTGGTGCGTTGGGAGAGATTCCTCGTTGCTGCTGCGCCTGCTGTGGTGGCCCGCCAGCTGGTGGCGGCAGGGAGGCAGGGAGGCGGCAGGCGTAAGATGCGCCACTTCGATGTTGGCCAGCATCCATCTGGCTGTCATGTATGCCCACATGTGCTGTGCAAACACGCTGCCCTGCTTCGGCCGATGATTGGCAGCGGTGGCAGCACCGTGCCACGCTTGAACGTGCCATCTGGCCATCCTCCGACACCCCTTGGGGTAACTTAGCGTTGCCGTTCAATAAAGAAAGAATGTGAAGCCGAATCAAGAACAAATGTAAACACTAAGATATGTGCAGGGTGAACAGGACAGTAACCAGCAGATAGCAGGAGGATGGGAGCGGAAGCAATGCAGGACACACAAACGGCACGACATGGCGGCACCAGGCTCGCTGCGGATGAGTGTACTGCTGCCTGCCTGCAGAGTGCGAGAACCGGGAGCGGGAACGCATGGAGGCATCCTGGCAGGGCAATCCTGCCAGCTAGGGCATACCCCTGCAGGCAGTATGACGGTATCGGGATCAGGACAGGGCATCAGGACAGGGCAGGGGGGGCAACCACTCCATAGCGGCGGAAGGCGCATGTGCAGGGCCGGCGCTCACCACTTGTGCGGCAGGATGTCGCACGCGGAGCGCAGCAGGGCCGACCGCCGCGGCCGCTCCCGCTCCGGCACCGCACCGTCGATCGTCATGTAGCGCACCCCCTTCTTCAGCTGCCCCCGCTTGCCCGCCTCCGCCTCAAACACCGCAGCGCAGTAGTGCGAGTACTTCTTCTTCTGCACCGTCGACACAAAGTGGAACTCGGCGTGATAGCAGGCGCGCGTCAGGTGGTGCAGCACAAAGCCGCGCTGGTCCAGCAGCGCAAACTTGAGGGTGTCGGGGTTGGCGCACTGCGGGCAGGGGTGGGGGAGGGGGAAGGGGCGAGCGACAGGCACACCAGCAGTGGATGTGGGCACGGCCAGGGGGGGGGCGCCGGAGGCCAAGTGGGACCCCGTGAGGCTGGTCGAGGCTGGGCGCATGCCGCGGCTCCGGGCCTGCCTGCCGGCCGCCCTGGGCTGGCTGCTGCACTTCTCCCACCAGCCCCCAATCCAAGAAAACACATGCCCACAGTCAGTGCAGCAGCGCAGCTCCTGGCCCTCCCTCCAAGCAGCCCCACCTGCAGGCTGTCCTCTATCCATGGCGTGAACACCCACAGCGGGAACAGCTTTGCAAACTTGCCCGCCTTCTCCTCAAACCGGCTGCAGGCGGGCACGCAGGCAGGCGACGAGCCCCAACCACCTCAGCTGCAGCGCCGCTCCCCAAGCGAGTACTGCCCATGGGCTAGGCCCACAACACAGCAGGGGCGGGTACTCGGCATAGGCATGTAGGCTGCCTGCCCCAACACCGCCTCGCCGCCCCCACAGAGCGTTCATCGGGCCTCACCTGTAGATGTCCTCAAACGCGCCGATGGAAGTGACCGCAGGTGCATCAAACTCCACCCCCAGCCTGCACAGAGGAGGACAGCGATGTGGGCTCGCGCTCAGGCACCCATGCTGAGCTTTTTGAAGGGCCTGCCAGACAAGAGCCACCGCTGCCCACGCCGCTCGGCGCACGCAGACAGGCCGGCGCAGCTGGAACTCACCGCTTGCCGTCATCGTCCCGAATCTCGGAGCACCAGGCGTTGTGGCTGTCGCCTGCAGACAAGGAAGGCACACGCATTCACCTTCGGTTGGAAAAAGAAAGGGAGCCAGCCCAGCAGGCACGACAGGCCCAGCAGGCCCAGCAGGCGCAGAGGTGCAGCGACGCACCCGCCAGAACCACGGGGTTGGTGCCAGGCTGCCCCAAGGCATCAAACAGCTGCAAAGGGCAGGTGCGTAACGGGGGAGCGCGGGTGGATGGGGCAGCGGCCAGTCGATGCGAGGACGGCACCATGCCAGCGAACGCGGCGGAATAGAACGACGCAAGGTCTGCAGCTCTTCAAGCCTCCTTGCACGCCTGCCCGCCAGCCGCGGCTACCGCCTGCACCACAGCCGGCCACACACCTTTGCCCGCTCCGCCTGGTAGCCGTCGCCCGCATCGGGGTTCATGGGCACGCCGTACTTGCCCATGCCGAGGTACATGCGCGCCAGCTCAGCGCCTTCCTTGCCCGACTTGGCGACGTCGGTGGCGAGGTTGAGGGCGCCGCTGCAGGGTGCGGGCGCAGGCGCAGGTGGTGCGGGTTGTGGGGGCGGAGGGAGGTGCAGGGTGTGGGGGCGCAAGCGCGTGAGTCGGGCCGCAACGCCAGCCGGATGCGGCAAGTCGTGGTCAGAGATGGAGGCAAGCCGGAGCGGCGCCCGGCCGGCCAAGACAACAGCGAACGGCCTCGCAGCGGCACCGGCGCCAGCGCAATCTCCCTGGCTGCCCCGCCCCGTGCCCCGCCCTCCCCACCTGCACAGCTTGGCCAGCAGCTTGGGCTGCAGCCCGGCGCACTCCTTCAGCTTGGGCGCCTTGAGCTGCGCCATGATCACCTGGCTGATCAGGATCTGCCAGGGCTGCCGGTTGGCCACTGCGGCAGGGGGGTGCGCGGGTGAGTGAGGGTGTGAGTCAGGGACCAGGTGGCTGTCGCAGGGGCCGCGCTGGCGCTGCCGGGGGCGGATGGCACAGCGGCGCGCAAGGGAAGGCAGCCCAGCCCAGCCTGGCCTGGCCCAGCTGCCTTGCCAGCCGCCTCGTCGGAGCAGCGCAGTGCGGCTTCGGCGTCCAGCTAAGCTCATCCCGGGCGCCCACCCGACTGCGCCACCGCCTGCTTCACATCCTCCAGCTGCACCTCCCCCAGCATGGTGCGCCCGGGGTCCCTGAACTGCTGCATCAGGTCTGCCTTGGCAGCCAGGATGGCGTCGTCATCCCACTGCGCATGCGGGGGACGGGGTGGGTGAGGGTGTGGGTGGGGACCACGCATGCGGCGAGTTTGATGCGGGTGTTGCCGGGTCGCAGGCAGGGTGGGGTGGGATGGGGGTGCAGGTGCAAGTAGCGTGGCGTGTTGACACGCAGGGTTCAAGTGAAAGGATGGGTGCCCCAGAGGGCCCACCTGCTTGGGGTGCTTCTCTGCCGTCTCCTTGTAGAACTGCAGGCGGGGAGGTAGGCTGCTGTCACAATCACAATGTGGTGACCCCCTCCGGAGGTCCCCAGCCTCCCCGCCTCCCCCTCAAAACCGCTGCCTCTGCCTCCCATCCGCCACCTCCGCCTCCCAGCGCGCCTGCCCATCCGCCTCCCAGCAGCCCTCCCAGCAGCCCTCCCCAGGCGCCCCACCTGCGTTTCCTTCATGTCCACCGGCGGCTGGCGGCAGCTGATGCGGTTCTCCACGAGCATGATGGTGGCCAGGTCGCCAATGGAGAAGGTGCGGTGGCAGCCCATCAGGTTGATGCTGTCGTGGCTCATGCCGCGGATGGGGATCCACTCCACATACGCCTGCCACGAGCGGGGGTGCGGCGGCGGCGGCGGCGGCAGCCAGCAGGGCGCCAGCTCAGCGAGGCGGACGGGCTAGGGCTGGGGCCTACGTTTCTACGGCTTAACGCCGTATTACCGTAATACGCGTAACTCAGGCTTAAAGCCCTGAAGGGAGCCCGTAATACGTTTCAAGGAGGACACGTCAGAATGCCAATTCCTGGGCATTATGCAGGGTTTTGGCACTGAAAGTGCAGCTTTCAACCTCTGTAAAGATCAATGATGCACAAACCAACCCTCTCGGCGACATTACCGCAACGAAGCATGCATTTTGGCGCTCGCCATGTGCGCAGCACACCCAGCATGAGGCGTAATTATGGCTTAAATAAGCCGTATTACGTCTGTCTTGCCCGTTTAAGGCATAATTTTCGCTGTATGACTTGGCAGCCAGTTTTACGGCTCTGTAAGGCGTAATACGGGAATACGGCTGAATTACGGCTTAACGCCTTTCCACCCCAGCAGTAGACCCCAGCCCTAGGACGGGCACACGGGCGAGTGGCAAGCGCAGGGGCCGCGGAAGGCGGCTGGGGCATTTCGGATGCAGGTAGAAGATGCGGCGAGGCTGGGGGGGCGGGAGTGTCACGCGCCTAGGCCATGCTGCGCCTGGCCCCCCGCAAGGCATCCCTCCACCGGCTGCCAGCTCACCGTGATGGCCGCCACCTTCTGTGCATCCCACTCCTGCTGCGTGCCCTTGAAGTCCTCGGCGCCTCCAACGTGCGCCGAATCGGCGATTTCGTGATCATCCCACGCTGCTCAGGCGGGAAGAAGAGGGAGGCGTGAGGGTGTGGAAGGTCAGGGCGGGTCTCAGGCGTGCTGGACGCGAGCGGGGAGGTACATGGCAAGTGCAGGGCTTGCCGCCGATGCTTGGCAGCGGTGGCTGGCGCAACCACGGCGTGCAGCGCGGCAGGAAGGAGGCGCCCCCTCACCCGCAATCATGGGCACCCTGCGGTGCATCTCCTGCAGCGCAGGGTCGGTCCTGCGGGGGCCAGGAGCGCGAGGAGCGTGGTGAACGGCAGGCAAGCAGGCATGGGCTCGCGGGTCTTCCGAGCCGGCACCGCAGGGGCACCTGGCATCGATCCGCCACGCGCCACAGCATTGAGCCTTGTTTTTTTTGCGCCACAGCATGCACAGCAGGGCGGGGCGCACCGGTAGCAGGCATAGCGCTCCCGGTAGTCCCCAAGCTCCTTCAGCCGGTGCTTGGGCCGCAGGCCGTGCCGCGCCTGGAACTGCTTCGCAGGGTAGTTGTACTTCTCGTACTGCACAGAGGCAGGACAGGCGGGCGTCGTGGGGTGCGCCGAGCAGGAGCAGGAGCAGGAGCAGGGGCCAGGGCCGGGTTGGTGGAAGGCAGCGCTGCCGGCAGAGGCAGGAGCCAGCACAGGCTTGGGTGAGAGCAAAGTGTGGTTCAAGCTCAAGGCCACAGGCGGCTGGCGCCTTGCCTCGTAAATATAATCTGCAGGGCAGCAGGGAGCAGGCAGGGCTGGCTGGGCATTACAGCTCGTCACACGAGGCGGGCTGGAAGCCGGCGGCTCTTGACCGTGCCGCGACTCGCCGGCGCAGCATGCGCACAACACAGCCGAGCATGCGCACAACACAGCGACCAGCAGCCTCGCATGCTCCCCGCCTCTCCCGGCACACTACTGTATCACCACCACAGCCAGTGCCGCAGCCCGTGCAGTGCACCAGTGCCACACCAACGCCAACACCAGCCTCTCCCTTGGAAAACCATCACCACCACCAGCCAGTGCCCAGCCCGCACAAACAAAAAACCCACCTCCGCAGTGCAGCACAAAATCCAGTGCATCCACCTTGGCCACCAGCTCATACACGTGGAAAAATCCGAACCCCCTGAGGGAGGGGAGGGGGCGGCGAGCACATGTGAGGCACACGGGTCACCCGGGGAGGAGCCCGAGGCCGCCGGATGGGCTACACAGCGCCCGGCTGCAGACGGCTGGTGCAAGCGCTTGCGTTCCGCCGTGATCCAGCTGCGCCGCCTCCTGCGGCAGGGGCTGCGCAGGCGGGCTGCACCCCTCCAAGCCCCGCCCTCACCAGTTGCAGCAGGACACTGTGGCGAAGCGCAGCTCCTCCACCCTCCCCGTGCCCAGAGTTTTGGTGATGCCGGTGACGCTGCGAGGCAGGCATGAGTGTTCTGGGGTAGGTAAGGAGGGTTGAGGGTGGGGGCCAGGCAGTGTGGAGATAGGATAGGCGAGGGGTCGACAATGCTGTGGGCAGGCACTTGCCCGCCCGCCCGCCCGCCTCTTGCCCCTGCAGCCACCCAGCTCCCGCACTGCTTACGTCTGCGCCTTGCCGACGTTGAAGCGGTAATAGTAGCGCTTGGCGGGCTGCAGCCCCGTCACATCCACAGCCACCGTCCAGTCGCGGCTGGCGTCGGTTTCAAAGGTGCCGCTGCAAGGTGGTGGTTGCGCAGGACTCAGGGTGGCCGTCGGAGGAGGGCCAGCGGCGGCGGTTGGGTGTGCGCACCCCACCCTTGCTCGCCTGCTGCTGGGGCTGGCAGTGCTGCTGCCGCTATGCATCCTGCGCCACTCTACGTCCCCTCTCCCCCATGCGCACGGCCCCTCCTGTCCCTTGCCCCGCACCTGGCCGTCAGGCTGCTGAAATCTTTCATCGCCGCCACCTCCCATTCCACCACCACCTGTGGCACCTTGGTGGTGGCGGGCGTCCATCTCGTCCAGATGATCACAGCCTCGTGGGATGGGTCGAAGGAGGCTACTCCGTGCAGGAAGCCTGCGGCAGGAGGCGGCGAGGAGCACGGAGGTGGGCTAACCAAGTGCCCTGGCGAGCGGCGGCGGCGGCGGCGGCGGGGGTAAGAGCAGCAAAGACCCTTTCAGGAGGGCGCCGCCGGATGCGGCATGGCGTCTGCCGGGCCAAGGAGGGACTGTCAGAGTTGGACTGCCACTGCAGTTGCACCTGAGGGTGGAGGCTGCGCCATGACGTGTAGCAGGTGCGTTCCAGTGGCCCCCAGTGACTGACTGCGGAATGGCAACACGCAAGTTGCAATGAGCAGCAGGCTCCACAAGTGCCGCAGCGCGTGGCAGCCCACCTCACCCTGATCTGCACTGCAATGAAGCGGGGCAGGCCTTCTGTTACCAATTGGAAGACGCCCTAAGATTCAAAGGGCGTTGAAGGACCCAGGGGGCCCATCCAGCCCATGCCTGGTGGTCTCGGCAATTTCAATGCCAGTTGGCGACAGCGTCGCATGTCGAGCGCAGCACAGGGAGGGGTCCACACAAACAAACATACCCTATGATCCAGTTCACCATTGTCAAGCAAATGAAGTCAACATGGCCTTGCATGCGTGCTACAGATGTTGCGGCCGTTTTCGGTTGGCTTGCCCCCACCGCGATGCACCAGGCGGCGGCAGGCGGTGACAGGTGGCATGACGAGACTGGTGCTGCCCGGCCCACACGCGTGCCTGTTCGATTCATTCGGCTGGCTTTTAACTGAGAAGAGGCAGACGATGATATGAGCAGTAGCAGCATATCGGTAGTAAGGAAGATAGGGCAGCTACGTGTAACAACGTGGTTCGGAGGAACACTCTGGGTTTAAGGGCATGATACTTGGGAGTGAGAACGTATGACAAGTGTGGTTAAATCTCAGTGATGCATGGGTGGGGTGGGCGGCATGCGCTGGGGGATCAGCGCATCTTTCGGGAGCTGGGTGCGGGGGGCGGCGGCGCGGCCGCATCCGCCTTGACCGCCCCTCCCTTCGGGGGCGGCGGACTCCTCTTCGGCTTGGGCTGCGGCTTGGGTGAGGGCTTGGGCGATGGCTTGGGCGATGGCTTGGGCAATGGCTTGGGCGATGGCTTGGGCGATGGCTTGGGAGGCGGCGGCGGCTTGGGCCACTTGGGCAGGATGCCGGGGCAGCCCTCCTGGTACTCGCTCAGGCACCGCAGGTTGCCCTCAATCGAGTAGATCTTGCACAGGTCGGTGAGGTTGCCCACGCCGCCCGCCTCCAGCCACATCAGCGTTGGCCGCACGTGCTCTGCGGGTGTGGGGGGCAGTGGCGGAGGGGTCGGCAGCGCATGCGTGGGTAGCAGGGCGCCGCCAGCCTCCGCCGCTGCTTTCTGCCTCACCTCCCACAATCTCGTGCTGGGCCCAGGCCAGGTTCATCGCCTCGGTGATCTGGCTCTCGTCAGAGTTCAGGTTGTAGGGGTTGTTGATGTCGTTGATGTTGCCCAGCCAGGGCAGCACCTCACGCAGCTTGCCCTTCCACTTCTGGACCTGCAGCAGGGCAGGCATGGCGCGCCAGCACAGTGGGGGCAACGGAAGCGTCGGCGCCGGGCGCAGAGCAGCAGAGCATGTGCCATGGTGGGCCGCAAGCCAGTCCACAGCGTAGCGCCCCAGCATGGCAAATTTTGCAGGGCATGGCGTGTCGCAGCTGCCATACGCCGGGGGCACAGCCGCGCAGCCGGCCACAGCACAGCGCCGGACAGCACAGGGCAGCAGCAGGCTGGCGGGCGTGGGACTGACTCATAGCACAGCACAGCACAGCATGGGGAAGCACAGCTCGGGAGGCTCACGGTGCGGGGGTCATAATTGAGCCACCCTTGCTTGTCGATAGCACCGATGGCCTTGAGGCCATTGACGATGGCCGCCGACTGCTGGCGGGTCAGGTAGATGGAGCGGCGCCAGAAGAAGCTCGAGTAGAGTGGGAAGGACGGGATCTGCGGGGCGGCGGTGCGGGGCGGGCCCGGCGCATGGGAGAACGGTGGGCCTAGGCTGCTCCTGCTCCTGCTGCTGCTGATGTGGAAACCCGGTACAGGAGCTGGGGCCCGTGGCGGCGGCGGCCTGGCATGAAAAGGAAGGTCAGGGGCGCGGCGGGGACGCAGCGGTGTGGCGGCACTCACAAAGACTGACTCGGCATTGACCCCGTTGTTGCGCAAAATCTCCACCGCCTTTGCTATTTGCCGCCTGGTCTGGTCGTCCCTCTGCATGGCAATCGGGCCAGGCAAGCGGAGAGCGGTGCGGCAGGGGCGGAGAGTTTGGTGCCTGCTGAGAGAGAGGCGTACTGCCTGGCACATCCACACACAGTCCAGCGAGGCGTGCGTAGGTGTGCGTGGTGCTGCCACCCTTCCCACACACACTCGCCCACCCCCGGTCCCCGCCCCCACACACAAGCACCATCCCCCATTCAGCCCCTCCTCCCCTCCCCAAAGCCGCACCTCCATCTGGTAGAAGGCGGTGGGTGGAAAGCGCGTCTTCAGGGTGCCCGCCCCATCCGTGGCGTGCCACTTTTTCTCCCAAGGCATGTTGACCTCTGCAATTCATTTTTCATTCAGGCAGCAGGTGGGCAGGGTGCGAGGGTTAGAGGGCACCCCAGCGTGCACAGCGGGGGTGGGGTACCACCCGCCGCGAGCCGGCCCACCCACCGCTGACGAGGCCGTCGATGGGCATGGTGAGCGGGAACTTGACGGCGAAGCTGGCGCCTGCGGAGATGCCCCACATGTAGATCGGCTTCTTCTGGATGCGCAGCTTCTTGGTGAACGACTTGATGGCGTCCATGGCATCGACCATGTCGCCTGCAGGCCAGGCAGGTGGGCCAGGTGGGCGGTCCAGCAAGTACAAGCCAGATGTGGTGTAGCGTGGCCGCTGCTGCGATGGCTGGCAGCGTATGCGTGGGTGGCACATGCAGCTGCTGTCCCAGCCGCAGGAAGAGCCCCAGCGGCAGCGGCGGCGGCGGCGGCAGGTGGGCGCACGCGCTCACTCAATGTCTGGTCGCCTGCTGCGCTGAAGCACCGCATGCGGGTCCTGTCCTTGGAGGCCAGTGCCAGCACGGCATAGCCGCGGGCCAGGCACTGCTTGGTGTGCGCCACCTCCTCTGGCAGGCCTGCGGAGCAGGGAGGGTAAGCGGGGCGGGCGCAGCGATGTGTTGGCGAGCTGAGAAGTTGGGCAGGCACTCGGGCTGCCAACACACAAGCATGCCAAGTCTGGCAGGCAGTAGCAGCGTGATTTGGCAGCCGTTCAAGACGCTGCGCTCGCCTGTGCACTCCGGGCAGTCTGGGCTTCGGTAGAACCAGCTCTCGGGGCCGTGGTAGCAGCCGTGGATGAACACACAGGTGCCACGCAGCCTGATGTGAGGGCTGGGCAGCCTGAAGAAAGCATCTCGGTCGCCCCACCCCATGCTGCAAGCAGGCACCCCGGCGTGGGCAGCTCTGGGATGCATTGGGCAGGGCAGCGCACAGCCACCCCAGCAGCCCCCACCAGTGTGCCAGCACTGCTCCCACCCTGCACGCGCTAAGGTCCTGGATTGCGCGCTGTAGTAGCATGCATCTCATTGCCTCAGCACCAGCGCAGCATCACTCACGGCCATCTTCCGGGCGACCCCAGCGTGGACATTGCCTCCGAGTGCATGCTGGCCGCCGCCAGGACGTGGCCCATGGCTGCGCCCAGCATGGCGGGCGTGACGCCGTCGGGTGGCGCCGCCGATGCGGTCACCTTGCCCTCTGGCTCCCGCCCCTCGGCAAAGGCGCGGCCGATCTCCACCGTCACGCTCAGCGCCAGCCGCAGGGCCGCCAGCTCCGTCGCGTTGGAGTAGCCCAGCGCCAAAACGTCGCGGGCCTCTGCCGCCGTGGCGGGCGCCGCGAAGAGCAGCAGCAGGGTGGCCGCTGCCGCCATCAAGGCGGCGGGCGGGCGGCGCGTCATGCTGCCGACGATGCTGACCAGAAGGGAGGCCTACAACAACGGCAAGCGAGGGAGGCATCTATCATCTAACAGCAGCAGAGTAGATCCCCCTGTGCCAGTCCGTCTGCGCCACGCTACCAGCAGTGCAGTGCAACTCCGCTGTCCTTCCGATGCTGTTTGCAGCGGCGCCCCGAGGTCGGGCGCCAACACGGCTGCATGGTGCAGGGCCACGCAGTCTGATCCCGCGCAGACTCACCTGGCGGCGCCTGCACAGGTGCCGTAACTACAAGTGCGTTGGAGGCAAGCACCGTGAGCCCCGCTAATACACGTTCCTGCAATACAGCAGTCCTGCTG